ATTTAAACATATATCTCTGTATATATTTAAATGAATTATTATTATTAAATAAATGTTAATATATTATTATATATTAATTGATTTTAATTATAATAATTAATTAATTAATTAAAATACCATAAAGGGTGTGTTTGGTTGTAAGGGTAAACTAGGGTTGGAGCTCATGGCTATTCCTAAGTAGAATAGGGTTTTAATTGTTGCACTATATAAGTGCAACTTAAAAATTAAAACAAAGGAATTTTATTCATTCAATTAAAACCCTAGCCACCCTATCTCTCTCTCTCTCAAGAAAAAAACTTTTCTTGTTTTTCTTTTTTGATTCTTGATGCCTTTGATTGTTCTAGCAAAATAATCAAGGGTTCTGCGGATTATCTTCGTGTAGACTTCCGTGAGTGCGATCCTATTTTGGATCGATTGGCGAAAAATCACGTGAATAATAACCGTGAACAGTGTTCCTGTCCAAAATCAGAGATATTCGAAGGAGCCTTCAAATGTATGTAAGTATTTTAATCCTTGAATGGATTTACTTTATACAGATTTTTGTTTATAAACATGTAAACGGTACAATCTATACTCGGATCTAGGCAAAGAAAGGTAATTGATTTACCGATTGAATTTTTGTTTTCTGCTGCATATGGTAGATCAATTACTTACAAAATTAGCTCTTGCAACTTGGGATCCGTTGTACGTGACTGCAGGGGAAGTTGAAAGAATTAGAATGAACCAAGAATCATACGGTTGCTATAATCACAACAAAGGACTATTGGGTCCACCCAGAAAACCATCTCCCATCTCTGTCCCTGTAAAGAACCACGCAAACCTTTTTGATGGTGGCTTCTACAATGCTCAACACCAACGCCAACACCATCACCAACAGTCGCTTTCTCACCAGAAGTTACAAGCTTCTCAAGTAGGTTTAAAACAAAGTCGTAATTGTTTAATTACTCTAGTCCCAAGAAACAAACTTTAAATCACATTAGGCTAAGCTTCAACAATAATTGCACAATAACTCGTGGAGGATAAAATTTTTAAACTTTCTCTAGAACCAAACTTTAAACAGTGATGGCAGAGAGCTAATCAAGATAGGCACAACATCTCTCGTTTCTAAGGTATCACCGCGGCCATTCAGAATAACCCAGTGTTTCTATCAACTAAACCAACTACTGGCGTATAGCCTAGTCTAATAACAAAAACCCATTAAGCGCAAGATGATCTTAATGACAAAAACCAATCTATAGCCAAACAGTAAACCTAGGTTTTCATTTTTAATAATGCTTGATCCAAATTTTTTTACAAGTGTTATAATTGTGTAGAAATAACTTCAATCTATAGGAATGTTCATCAAATACAACTATATACTATAACATTAAACAAATTTTAACGATAGATTACACAAACAAAAAATACTGACACCAAAAATCTAAAGGGTATCTATGATGTGGACATTGAAATAAAATCAATTTAAATATTTCCCAAGCCTCATGGAACGACTCACCATCAAGTTGAGAGAAAGTAGCAATTTTAGATAAGAAGAATACATTTTTTTGAGCTTCTGGATATGTTGGAGGCTACTGAGTCAGGCATCAAAAACATTGACATTGATTGAAGCTAACTCAAGTGTGAATGAAAATGCTCAGAAGTCGTTGGAAGAAACTACTATGGATAGAAAGGGCGTTTGTCTTCATTGTGGGAATCCCAGACACTGGAGGAAATTGCAAGGCCTTCCTAACAAACAACAAGAATAATGCAACTTCTTTGTCAAGTATGTACATGATTAAGATTAATTTCTTTCCTTTAACATCTTGGGTCATTGACACAGGATATGGTACTCACATTTATATTGAGCAGGGTAGATTGCTCGCCAAGGAAGAGGTGAACCTATGAGTTAGAAATCCAACAGAGGTAAATCACATAACCTTGTATGGTTTTACATTTTGATTATTTAGTCGGAATCATGATCTTGGGTAATGGAATCATGCCATGGCAAGAATTTTTTTATTGTAATTCCGCGCTTGCTACGGCATGATTCCTACAAGTGGTGTCAAAGCTTCGATTAGACTATTAATTGCATGTATGTGATTGGGTGCTAGATTGGCATGTGTAAGTTTTTTAATTTTAATTTTAAATCTGCTGTTTTGATTTGATTTTGTTGATGGAGTTTCTTTGAAGAGTGGTTGGAAAACCCTAACGATGGTGGCTGTATTTTGTGGGCTGCGCGCAACTGTTGTCCATGGGTGCCCCTGCTCCTTGGCTGTGCGCTGCCGCACACAGCTACCCTAACCATGGTTGTGCGTGGCTGCGCACAGCATGGCTTATACTTAAATATAGTGCTAAAATTCTTATTTCTTTAATTTTTAAATGAAAAGGAAAAAAAATTGACCTACCTAATCTCGTATTTCTTAGTCTCTTCTTCCCCTTTCCCCTGCCTACTCTATAGCTCTAACTACTAGTAAATCGAAATTTTTCCAGCAATCTGTTTTCCCCAACTATAGATGAAATTTTAATGATTTTAGGTGATAAAATGATGAATTTGACATTTTCCAACAAATAAATAAATAATACATTATTTTTTAGGTTTCTTTTCTTAGTTAATATCATATTTATCAACTAATATTGTATTAAAATTAAATCATTTCCAACTTGTAAGAAGCTTTGAGGGAAATATTTTGGAAAAATAATACTTCTAGCCTTCTAGGTTTGTCATAGAGTTAAAAGTCATTTCAAACTAAAGATGTACACTCCATTGCCCATTCCTAGCCAACCATGGGAAGACTTGAGCATGGACTTCATTGTGGCATTGTCGATAACCCAAAGAAGTAAAGATTCTATAATGGTTGTTATTGATAGATTCTCTAAGATAGCACATTTTATTGCATGTAACAAAATAAATAATGCATCACATGTGGCTGAATTATTCTTCGAGAAAATTGTGAGGTTGCATTGTGTGCCGGGGAGTATAGATCTAAAGAGCCACTAAAAAATCTCACTTATCTATTCTTTGGAGCGAGACAGAGTTTATGAAGTGGACCTCTTTCACAACTGTTGTCTGCTTTAGCTATAAAACCTCTGGAATGGGTCAGATTTTCTTTCAAATGTCCTTATTACACTATTAAATTCCTTCATAAAGTAAAGTGGTACCACTACTTTTTGTTATTGCTCTCCAGTCTCCACCCCCTGTTGTTTCCTTTCTGAAAATCAAATTACATGATTAAAACATTTCAACAATCTAATTTTCTTCATTTGTCACTAGCAATAAGAATATCTCCACTCTCTTTGATTTTTCTTATTACTTTTAAGGGTTACTTATCATTGATATGTCTCCAACACCGACATAAAATTTAGTAGATTTCTGAGTCAAATTTTTGTTGACATGTTAAAGATTAGTGGGTAGTGTTTAAAATGTGTGTATTTAATTCTTTGATTTTTACAGAGGCCGGCCAAAAGTACAAACTGTTTGATCAAATGCTTCACTCAGCAAACTTGTGTTTCATCAAGAATGGGATACATGCTAACAAATATAAAGCAGAAGTTGCCAGTGTTGGAGAATAGATTGCAACATATGCTGCAGCTTCAAGTTTTATTAAAACACGTTTTCTGAAATCAGAATGATGGTGTCTTTGCTTGTGAGTTCACAAAATGTTTTGAGCTTATCAATTTTGACCCGTTCTTCTTACTTTTTCTTAGATCAGATGCCTGCAGACAAATTTGGTGTAGCATTTTAGACCTTTAGTTAGCTTCATTATTCGTATTTTCTATAAAGTTATGCTTAAAATCCAACTGGGGGATGGTTGAAATAAAGTTGAACATTAATCAAATAAATAAAGACATGAGCTTTTGGCCTTCCACTGATATTTGCTATTGGTAAAGTTGCTCCCTCCAATCACCCTTTGCAAAGTGTTGATATAGGATTGTTTAACGTAATTTAGATGCATTTTTGAGCTATTATTGTTGTTGTGTACCTCATTTGTCATTATTGTATCTCAATATTTCTTTTTGATATCTCATCTCTTATTGGCTTAGAAAAAATCATCAATCTTCTTTTTCACTTTGGGACTGGCTACATGATTTTGGCCCTTAAAACGGCAGAATAAGTTTGGAGTACAAGGACAGCAATGTCCGTTTTTAGATCATCTAGTCACACCTAAAATATATGATATCTTAATTCCATAGCCATTGATGCCTTTGCAAACAAAATTTGAACTACTGAAGAAGTTACCAAAATCTGACAGGTTCTTGAAGGGCTTCCTGGAAAAAGAAGCATACATATATTGTGATTTAACTTGCCAACAATCACAGAGTTGGTATAGATAAAGAGTTGAGTCATCCTACTACTCATAACTGCCATGGACATGTGTTGAAAGCTTCAAATGACGAGAGGAAGCAAGAACAATCGAATCTTATTCTTCACTTCATCTCTCGATTGTGTTATGCCCTATACTATTTTCTTTTCTGAAATAGGCATCATGGCCTCCCAAATTTTGCTAGAAGGTTTAAAAGTGGAAGGTCTTCCTTAATTAGGAAAGGTGACCAAGACAAAAAACAATCATATCAAAGAACACAAATTGCAAATATTTAACAAATACTTAAAACCAATCCACTTTTTATCATTTCATCCTCCTCTACTTTAATCAGATTTATCAATTTATTATTGGATAGGTTTAGTAACTTGATTACCAAAATCTCCTCTAGTTAAACACATCTTTTTGTCAGTTTGTAGCCCCCAAAGAAAGCAAGGTATTGAAGATTAATAATTTTTCATCAACTACACAACTACTAATGTCTCATAGAGAATCAGAGAATAGAACAACCTAAAACCATTATTGAAACTTGTTTACAATTGGGATTGCTGGATTCCAAATTACACCTCTCCTTCATCTGAATAAGTTTCAAACCTAAACATATTCTCAAGTAACAAATCTACAAATAAACGTATTCAGCAAGACAACTGAACCATACAAATGAATCAAAAGACAATGAAGTCGAAAAAGAAAAAAAAAAAATAATGAAACAGAGTAATATTTCTCATACTAATCACTATTGTAGTAACCCCGTTTATTTCTGGTGAACTGAATAACAGATTAAAGGGGGTGCTAACAGAATCTAAATACAGAAAAGAATGAAGAACAGATGGCAAACCAACTTGAGAGACAAACCCAAAGCACATCCACACACGGAAAGAACAAATACGTGGCATAGGCCTTAGTCAAAGAATTCCCAAGGGAACTTAGGTTGGGTTGAATTATTATTGGTGACAGGTGTAGATGTGGACGTTGAGGGGACTGGCAGCAATGCTGGGCTGGAATCAAAGGTCTCCCATTTCGTGGTCACGACAACGGGTCCTGATGTTGAATGCCTTGATTGTTGATGTTGTTGATGCTGGTGTTGCTCGTTTATTGCCAAATGCTCAAACGAATGCCTAGCTTGATGCTCTTGAATTGGCTCTAGGCTATGCCCATTGGAACGCCTTGGTGCCTGCTCCTGAATTGGTGTTAGTCTTTGACCATTTGAATGCTTTTGTTGATTCTGCATTGGTGTTTGAACTCCATTGCTACTTGGCATAGAGTTTTTAATCTTCAACATATCCAGAGTTTCAACATACTTTTGCACTCTTCTCACCTTCACCCACATTATAATTAAAAGTAATTAGACTCTACAATTTTACACAATTTCAAACACTATATAAGTAACAGAACCAATACATAAACTAAAATCAGAATTACCTGCATTTTTCTCTGCAATTTTACATCTCCATCACCCATAATACCATCTAATTTAAGCAATTGATTCATCAACAACTCAATTACACCAAGAACATCTTTTTCGGCCACTTTCCCTCCTTTAGTAATTATCGATTCAAGAGCCGACACCTGCCAAATTTCAATTAAACATCAAATTCACAAACAAATCTTCATTTACAAACTCTTCAAAGGCCTAAAATTTAGTTAGAAATATTCACCTGTCCTGCCAGACGGTCAACTTCCAGGCTAATTTCGGAGATAGATTTTGAAGCCTTCTCCATCTTGGCATTCTTTCTCATCTCAAGTAAACGTTTCTCTTGACTAATAGGGTCCTCAACAAGCACAATTTTCGATCGGTCCTTCACACCCGCCATGTCAAGAAACGTTTTTGAATCTCTCTCTTTATCTTTATATATCAGCTTTTGATCCTGGTGGTGCAACCCTGTTGGTCCACTCAACATCTTCTTCAACTCCCCTGCAATCAAAGTAAAACAAAACCATATATATTCGTAAGCAAAAACTTTCTTCATTCATCCACAACTTTTTTTCAACTCCAATTGTAAATAAAAAAAGAAAGATTGTGAATTTACCAAATGTAGCTTGAGAACTGATATGCATTTCATGGTAAACAGACCCGTATTTGACCCGAACTCTAATTGTCGGTGGCGGAGCGGAGGCCCGATCAGAATCCGGATTTCGTTTCTGTACAAGCATTCCACCTGGTCTTAGTTCCCATTCATGAAGAGGCACAGGTGCTCCACCAGCTGAGCTACCATTCGTCATCGAGGAAGGTGACAGTCCTGTGGTTTTAGTCTTCATCCTCATCATCTTAAAACTCAACTTTTTTATATTTTATATTTGTTGTCGTTCCGTTACAGAAATGAGTTTGACTTGAAGAGAAGAGTCTTTAGATCTTCTGTAACAGTGATTCCAGGCGATCTGTAACGAAAATCATAGACACCCTGTTCAGACAAAGCTCGTTAGAGTTNAAGATTGTGAATTTACCAAATGTAGCTTGAGAACTGATATGCATTTCATGGTAAACAGACCCGTATTTGACCCGAACTCTAATTGTCGGTGGCGGAGCGGAGGCCCGATCAGAATCCGGATTTCGTTTCTGTACAAGCATTCCACCTGGTCTTAGTTCCCATTCATGAAGAGGCACAGGTGCTCCACCAGCTGAGCTACCATTCGTCATCGAGGAAGGTGACAGCCCTGTGGTTTTAGTCTTCATCCTCATCATCTTAAAACTCAACTTTTTTATATTTTATATTTGTTGTCGTTCCGTTACAGAAATGAGTTTGACTTGAAGAGAAGAGTCTTTAGATCTTCTGTAACAGTGATTCCAGGCGATCTGTAACGAAAATCATAGACACCCTGTTCAGACAAAGCTCGTTAGAGTTGTAAGACCCCAGCATTACACGAGTCCAAGTCCTTAAGCCACGCGTAGACAGACACAGAAAAACAACCTGTCCAAACAGAACCTTCTTTACTTTCTTCTTCTGCCTTCTTCGCGGTACCAACTGGCGTCTTGTGAAAGAAAAGAAAAAAACAATCTTTGAACCTTATTTACCAAGAAAACCCAGATAGAGATCGCCTCCACTGAACTTTGCTAAAGCCAAAAACGATCAAAAGAATATTTCAGATCTCTTCAATGAATGCGGTCAACGTAATTAAACCACAAGAAAATTGAAGCAAACAATGTTGGACCAACGATTTTGCCCAAGAGAAGTAACGGAAAAATCAATGAGAAATAGAAATCGAAAACAGAATCAAATCCCTAGTATAATTTTTCTTTTTTTCTTTCCTTCCCTCTTTCTCTCACTTGTTTGTAGTTCTGGAAATGTCGTGGAAGAAGAGAATAAGAGAAGAAAATGAAATAAATGAATATAAAACGAGTGGACAGCTAACAGAGTCTGTTGTTGAGAGCTGAGGACTATACATTTATATGATTTATATAAATTATTTCAACCAAATTATTTTAATATTTTAATTATCAATATTTTAATACGAAAAAAGAAAGACAAAAGCCGCCAAAGCTTCTGTTCAAAGGTAAAAAACCAAAGAGGAAACTCTGGTCTTTCACCAAACTGGTGGGCAGGATCCCGTACATGTAGTTCTATGTTAAGAGAGACTTGACGGTGAATTGTTGACTTACACGTTTATGTCTAGAGGGTTATTTTTGGTTATACATAATAATCCAATCATTGTCTTGTTAACAATGGAGGGTTATTTACATACAAGAATAATCATCTTAAGATTGACACGTGGCGTTATCTAGTGGCGTGTGCGGTGGTATCTATGTCACGTAGTGTGTAGTTAAGGTTAGTTAAACAGTAGTTTTAGTTTGCCGGCACCTTCTTTGACAAAACCTTAAATCCGGTAACGTTTCGTTGTCCAACTCCCCACACGCTTTTCTTTCACTCCATCTCAAAGTTGGCACGTGTGTCACTTTCTTACTTTCATTAGAGATAAGTACACATTAACTAAATTATTACAAACTAAAGTACGGTTGTACCCTTATCCATTTGTTTAGAAATAGTAGGATTTTATGAAGTCAAATGTTTATGGTATTTACAAAGATAACTCGTTTATAATTAATTTTTTAGGTGTTATTATTTAAAATAATGTATAATAGTTTCTAAGAAAAGATATTTTAAGATAATGTTTTGAATTAAAACAAGGGCTGTGAAAACAAGTGTAAAAAGCTTCAAAAGTTGATTTCTTACTTTAACAGTTTGTCTTCACCTACTCAAACTGAAAAGATTTTCCACAAAAATCAATCAAGGACAAAATAGTCATTAAACTTCAATAAAGTACAAGAAAAAAAAAATCAAAATAAATACAGATAGAGCCACGTTTAAGTCTCGGTTAAAACTTAAAACCAAGCAAAACGCAACACACCTTACGTCATAATATGTAAATGCCACGTGGCACACATCGATACCGTCAAAGATGGAAAACAAAATCTAGGTCCCGTCAGTGCTTTTTATGCCTTTTACTTTGTTGCCTTTCACTTCACAACCAGCCACCGACACTCTCACACGTGCTAATGGCACGGGGTTGTTTAATAACGCGTGGCGCAGTGTGAGCCGTCCATCACAAGCCAGAGTGTGTGGGAGATGGGATTCTGTGCAAACGCAGTTGGATTGGGACGGTGCAACCGACACCAAGTTGTAAGGCGGGCGGTCGTTGTGATATTTTTTTAGTCCCTTAGGTTTTGGTCTATTACATTCAAGGACACGTTGTTCTTTACTACCAAACAAAAAATTCCTTCAAGTTGACATACGTTAATGTAAAACTGTCGGGCGAAGGACATATCTGACTTTTCGATAATGTTATCCAGTTAATAAAAATAGCAAAAATCCAATTTAATATCCAAATAAATAAAAATTAATTGGCACGCACAACCACCACCACATATATCATCATCTCCCATCCTCCATCAAATTACTTCCCAACATGACAAAATAAATGTGATTTTTTATTCAGTTTATTTATTTATTTGATTTTTTTTCTTCACAGTTTTTTAAATCCTTGTTATATTAAGGGGTTTTTTTAGTCTTTGTATGAAAGGTTATGAGTTAGGCAACAGTATCGTTTGGTTTAGGGACCATTTTGTTTGTAAAAAATAAATGTGTCCTAAATTTGTTGAAGACATAACCCAGGGACGAGTGACGACAGAATTTTTCCCAGCCGTTGAATTGACTAATAGACAATTTTATTATAAAATTGATGAAAAATAATAATTGAGATTGTGATTAATTTAGTAAATTTTAGGGTTTAGAGAAGTTTTGGTATTGGGGCATGTTTGATTATAGACATGCTACCGACCAATTGGGATATTAAATTCTGGATTGTAAAAGAAAGTGTGCTTTGATTGTCTGCCACTGGTTTTACAGAACTACTGTGGGACTGCCATCTGCAACTCACGTGACCATGATATGATATTTAAAGAATAAAGAAGCAATTGTACCATCATGAAAAATTCAATAATTTTATCAAATTAATTGAGGATGAAGTCAGAAAAAAAAGTTATTACACTTGTAATAGTTAAGCTATATACATGTACTTTCATAGTAGTTAAAACAAAAAAACAAAAAAATACATGTAATAAGGTAGTTATAGTTATTAAATAACATTACAATTTTGTCATAAATAAAATGACAATATTAATTATTTGTATTATATAACACTATTAAATCACGTATATAATAGTTGATAGGGATATACGTTAAATTAGAGTAGTTGGCCACATTCATAAAAGTTGTTAGAATTCAATATTCAATTATTCAATTTGATCACATTAATCTTATTTATTTTTTAAATTTTATTAATTATGATAAAGTGGTTAATTAAAAGAGATTTAAGTAGCATTGGAGGGTGGGAGGTCTCTTCAAACTTGATTAGCTACTTCCTTAATCAAAGTTGGAAAAGGAGAATCCAACCACCGGAATACCAAAATGGACAAATGAAGAACAAATAAAATCATACCAATTTCCGAAGTTAAGTAAAATGTAGGAGATATAGATAAGAGTTTCCCAAATGAAAAAAAAAAACCCAAGAAAACCCCCATATAAATTGACATATTTATATACTGAATTGGCATTTAAAGCCCATGAAAATGATGGAAAGTGAATGCCATTGCCCACAACACAAGTCACAACCGACTTTAATATTATTCACTGAAAATTCATTTCAGCCTGCGCTGCTCTGTTTCTCTTCTGTACACAAATTTCACACCCTCTCAAAATTTGGCCATTTGTCTAACTTTCAGCTTCATTTTGACGCCCACTTCATCCACTATTCTATCTAAAACCTGTATGATTTACTTTTCTAATATGCTATCTAATTGGATTTTCGTAATACTGGATTTTGATATAAGTAATGGAAACTTGGGTTGTGTAGATATGTTGACGATAATCATGTGGGTATGATGTGGTGATGCTGGAAATGTTATAATTACAAGTGGGATTGCTGTGACACTTGGTTTTAGCCTACTTTTGTGGCCGTAAGATGGTTATTATTATTGGTTACTTCTATGATTTCTCTAGATTTTATTATATAAGGAAAAAGTCATCACTAATTTACTATCACTAATTAAAGGTCAGTATTCAACACGTACCTTACCAGCTCATCATCAACTGGAATTATATTTAATTGGGGTCATCATTGATTGGGATTTTCCAGTATGTCTATTAGTTATCAAGTCAAGTCAACTAATTGGGATCCGAACTACACACTATTTCATTGGCTGAAATATCCAGTGTTTTAAAGAGGGGTGGCTTGTTGAGGTAATTAGATAATGAGAGTAATAACCCTTCAATTCAAATGATTGATACAAGATTTATAATTGGTTATACTTGAACCGACTCATAAATTTTCAAGCATGCAGTTGTCAAAATAGCTGCACATTTCCGTCACAAAGAAGTTCTACTTTTTAGACCATTAGATCTTAAAGTTGCTTTATTTTAATTATTGGACTCGATGGGCTCTGGGCATGACAAAAAGTTATGAACAGTCATTTTCACACATGTTTCCAAGACTTACAACTAAGTCATAAGATAATGGGCCATGGTTTGATCTTAGACAAAAGCAAAATGATATTTGTTATGTTTGATTTTGCCACCCATTTCTCCTACTGCACATGCTGACACGCAAATCACTGTCAAAGAATTACCTCCAAACAAAGCCCTATCGAAACACAAAACCTTATCTCCTGGAGTTTTAATAGTGGTAAAACAAAGCTTATCAAAATGGAGTACCTACCCAATTAAGCAGAGGAATAGCATTAGAGTTTTGTGTAGCAATGACAGCCTTCAGCTCCCAATTTCATCCTGCAATCTACCACATTTTTCATAATGTGAAAGCCAAGCGTTATGTTTCTTGCTCAGTCAACCCCCCGCAAAGTAATATCAAGGTAAAAGTTGGATTTCTATTTCAATCAATGCCATGTATCTTTTGATTTTTGATTTATTTTTAAATAGAACTAATCTTTTCCTATGGGAAGAATAGGTGATTGTAAATGGAGCCGCAAAGGAAATAGGAAGAGCTGCAGTAATTGCAGTCACTAAAGCTAGAGGAATGGAGGTGGCTGGTGCTGTTGATTCACATTTTGTAGGAGAAGATATTGGAAAGGTTTTTCATTTTCTTTCTCGAGTAAAAACATTTGAGAGCACCTTTGGTCAATGAAACAGTTTTATATGTTTCAACCAGACATCATAAAACAAATAAGAAATTGTTTTCGACTATTTGAACTCACGTTGGACATTATTAACAACACTCTCAAAGTACATTCTCATTTGTCTTAAAGGGCCTACGCTAATTTAATATATATGTTTTGTTTCATATTTCTAAGTAGGTGTGTGATATGGAAGAGCCTATGGAAATTCCAATAATGAATGATCTTACCATGGTATTAGGTTCCATATCTCAGGTAAAATACTCATATTCTGGTTTCTGTTTCTCAAACTGTTCTATCACTTACATTTCTCAGTCAACTGTTCATGGAATTCTGGCAGTCAAAAGCAAGAGGAGTGGTCCTCGACTTCACCGAGCCAACTACTGTTTATGACAATGTGAAACAGGTCTATTTTTATTAATGTTTCTATTTCTGTAGACAGACTAATTTGTAGCTCATCAACATTGGCATTTTTGTTAGTTTAAGCACTAGTAATCAAGCTGTCTTTGTGATTTCTCTATCAATAACTATAGGCAATAGCATTTGGCATGAGAAGTGTCGTTTACGTACCACGGATTAAGCTGGAGACAGTTTCAGCATTATCTGCATTCTGTGAAAAGGCCACCATGGTGAGCACAGGGTGAGAGATCATTAACATTTCAAATCCATTTTATTAATTCCTGCACCAATTATCTTCAACAATAAAAATATTTTTTCCAATCAAATTACTTCAGCACTTCATATGCTGCATTCATGTCAGGGTTGTTTGATTGCACCAACTCTATCCATAGGATCCATACTCCTCCAGCAAGCTGCCATTTCTGCTTCCTTCCACTACAGGAATGTAGAAATTGTGGAATCAAGGCCCAATCCAACGGTAAAATATATGAGTTTTTCTTTTATTTCAAATTTTCAATCAAGTAAATATGAACACGTTGTTCAATTTTCCATGGAGTTCTTTGTAATGTGTGTGAAGCAATTTACTTAATCCAACGTCCCTAAAAGAGCTGTTTAGTTGCCAAAGCAAAGCTTTTAATAGTTTAATGCATTGACTTAAAGATTATGATGGTTGCCCATTAGCTCCCCACATAGTTTTCGGGACTTAGTGGGAACAGAAATCTTATATTATAAATACAAAGAAAATATGTTTTTATCACATAAATCTGTTTTCTAATAGCCAAGTTTTCGGGTAATAGAGGAGAATATTTAATTGTGAAAATTAAATTTATATATCTCCAATCCTCTGCGATTCTGGATGTAAACATTCAACTCAAGATTTAGAAAACAGACCTTGTGCCTGAAGAACTGAAGATGATAAAATTGTCTTTGATGCACAGGATTTTCCATCAACAGATGCCAACCAAATTGCCAACAATCTCTCCAACCTTGGTCAAATCTACAACAGAGAAGATATTTCAACAGATGTGAAGGTATTATATTACCACATTAGATCAATCTTTCCAGGTCCAGCCGTCAAATGGCAATCATGGATATTTATATAAAGTTAACCAAAAAAAAAAAAAAAAACTACTGTAATTACACCATAGTGTCTGGGACAATATTTAACAGAAGCCAATAAATTCAAAACTTCTTATGTACCATTTAAAATAAAATAAAACAATGACTCAGTTCTTTTTGCTTATTTAATAAATTCTCCTCACACCGCTGTGGTTAAGAAAAAAAATGATATTCATTATCCATTCTGTCCTTAAGGCAAGGGGTCAAGTCCTGGGAGAAGATGGGGTTCGTGTGCACAGTATGGTCCTTCCAGGGCTTCCATCCAGTACAACTGTTTACTTCTCTCGCCCAGGAGAGGTGGTTTCTTTTCCCTTTTCATTTTTCTAAAGGTTAGGTTGAATATTTTATGTTCATTACCTCTGACCAAGAAATGATGCTGAGTGCAGGTTTACTCTGTCAAACATGATATCACAGATGTTCAGTCCCTCATGCCAGGCCTAATTTTGGCAATTAGAAAGGTTGTAAATCTTAAGGTAAACCAATCTTACAATATTTCATCTCTTTCTTTGAGCATCCTGCTTCGGTCGGTAAAAAATAAACAAATTACCTGTTCTATTTTGGCAGAATCTGGTGTATGGTTTGGAGAAATTTTTGTAGGAACTCAAATTATTCAATCTCCTGGATTCATAACTAAATCTCAGTGTTAATTCAGTAGACAATCAACATCGTCATGCAATCGGCAGAAACAGTTATGGATAGTGGAAAATTTTTGCAGGAACTTAAGTGTTGTTCAATCTCCTCAGTGTACAACCTAAACCTGCAAATTAATTCAGTTGAGGATCCACATCATCCTGTAGACATATAGTAGAGCAAAGAAGCTTAAGTAAAGTGTGCGAGGAAGAGCATAGTCAATCATTTTCATTCACTATGAAAATCTTCTTTGATTAATTTTATGAAATTCAACGGTTGGAGTTTTCACCATCAGAATCAAACAGAATCACATGAAGAGGGCTGTTTTCCAGACATTCCAAAACCATTTACATATTCAATTAAAAAGGTATAAATGTGCCTGCCAATGTTGGTATATGGTATGAGGGCTCCACTAGATTCCGAAAAACTCATAGGATAGGCAGAATAGCAGGAATCTCATCAAGTTTTCCATTCGCACACCGTCATCTTAGCTGCTGAATATTGGTTCTTTAATTTTAAGAAAGCTATCACTTCAGCATGCAGGAAATATCATTCACTAGCAGTTTCATAATTTAAAACATATACTTCATACTGAGATTCACATCTTGTATAATATCCAGGACTGCTTTTCCAAGCAATTATTTTTTTCCTCTTATATTCCTTCTAAAAGCAATCATATGTGTATTATATTCCTTAGCTAAGGATCTCCCAACTCCCCTCCCGAATGATAAAAGCTGAGTTTATTTAGTTAACTGTATCAAAATTATGACCTTTCATATTAATTTAACAATTTAACTAATAATACCACAGCAAACCCGAATCAACGAAAAAAAAGAGGAAAGAGGAAATAAATATAGCATATATTTGTAATGAGAAGAACAAAAAATAAAGCTAGCATTTCATTTTAAATTAGCTAAACATTTTCTATCCACAGGTAATATAGACAAAAGCATCAAACACAGATCTGAGGGAACATTTGATGCTAACTACTTGTAAGCATTATGGCTGATAAACTTTTCCACAGTGCCAGTCATATTTAAGTATTATCACCGGAAGAACACAAAATTCACTACTTGTGCAGTGAACCTTAGAAGAACATCATGATTTCTATAAATCAATTAGTCTGTTAGGCACTCTTCTCATGCAAATCCTGCAAACCTATTTCCAGGTTGATGTTCAAAATAACTTAAATGAAAAAAAGGATATTAAACTGATGGGACTTGGATAATGAGGGTGTAGGAAAAGTGAAATAAGATAGCAAGTAGTGGATTGAGGGGAAGTTGGGGGGAAACTTCCATGGGTTTAGGCTAGGACAGGTGGCGAGTGGGGGTTAAGACAGCAAAAGAATTCAGTTAGGGAGAGAGAGAGAGAGCTGGAGGATAAAAAGAGAGGCAGAGAGCTGATTAGGGCAGAGAAGAATATAGGGAAATTTGGGAGGAGCTAACCCTTAAAGTTAGCAATTAGGGAGGAGTTGGCCCTCTAAGTCCAGCATTGTTTTTCCTTTCATATTTTGATTTTGTCCTTTTGGGTTGATGTGCTGGGTATATTTTTTTGTTTGCTACCATTGTTATCAATTTGTTGAATATCAATACACGTATCTATTTTCTTCATATTTCTTGGTCGTTGGCTGTTATTATTTTACTGTTTTGTTGAGTTTTGGGAGTGGGTTCTCATCAATTGGTATCAGAGCAGTTCGATTGTGGGATGGTTGGTACAAGAATGGAAGTTAGAATAACAAATGTTGAGAGGGAAGTGTCAAAACTTGGGAGAGATATTGGTGTTGTTCTGGATGGTTTGATGGAAATACGAGCTTGGATGAGAAGGAAAGATGAAGAAGAAGTACGAATAGAGATTGAGAGAAATCATCGAAGTTCCACAGTCATCGGGAACTATTGACAACCAAAATCTGGGAAATCAAACGGAGGCACAGGAACTTATGAATCTTTCAGCAGCTAGACGTGTGGAGAAGATTAGAGTAAGTTTGAGGTTGTTTCACCCCTGTTAAGTGAAGAGAAAGAAGAAATTTTGAGGGTTGCTGTTGTAATGGGGCTGAAACCTGAATTAGGTTAAAGTAAGATTGGGTCAATCCACTCAATAGTCCAATTAATTAGTTGGCCCAAGAATAGAGGAAAAAAATTGGGCTTGGCAGGATTTAAAATTTGGGCTGAGCAAATATGGGAAAACAAATATAACTGGGCTCAAAGTTATTCTAGTCTTGCAGGCCTGAAGACCAGCCCAAAACCCAATTCAATTTTGACCTATCCAGATCTAAAGCCAGATTAATACCCATTCCCCAAATTAGACTCATATTCGATAAAGCTTCCCCGAAAATCATTCCACTCAGGGTCAACGCCCATGATCAACAACAAATCGACTCCTTTCTGGCGAACGATAAAGTTGAGGAAGAGTTGGGTAAAGAAGAAGAGGGCGGTGAAGGAGTGGAGGAGTGGGATGGTGTCAGTAAACAATCTCCATCTTCCCACCTTAAGGACAAGGTGGTAGTGCCTGGGGAGGGTAATGATCTTGGATAATAAGGGTTAGGAAAAGTGAAATAAGATAGCAAGTAGTGGATTAAGGGATGTGGGGAAACTTCCACGGTTTAGGCTATGACAGTGGCAAGTGGGGTTAGGACAGCAAAGGAATTCAGTTAGGAGAGAGAAGAGAGAGCTGGAGGATAAAAAGAGGCAGAGAGCTGATTAGGGCAGGAAGAATATAGGGAAATTTGGAGGAGCTAATCCTTGAAGTTAGCAATAGGGAGAGCTGGCCCAAAGTCCAGCATTGTTTTTCTTTCATATTTTGATTTTGTCCTTTTGGGTTGAGTGCTGGGTATATTTTGTTGTTTGCTACCATTGTTATCAATTTGTTGAATATCAACACGTATCTATTTTCTTCCTATTTCTTGGCTGTTGGCTGTAATTATTTTACTGTTTTTTGAGTTTTGGGAGTGGGTTCTCATCATAACTTTGCAATAGTAATAACTAGAAAAGTAACACCATATCTATAAAAGATGTGAAGTAGTCAAAATGGTATACATGAAATCAACACCTAATTACAAAATACGCATAACCTGTGTTAACACTGGCGTATTCGGAAATGAAAGAATTTAGGTGGCTTAAATATATAAGAATTTAGGTGGCTTTAAATTATATTTTCGGTAAAATTAGAAAAAAAAATAATAAAAAAAAAAACAAAATTGGGAGTTTTCCCCTAAACTCAATTCAAATTTATACATAGGCTTCACCTCTAAATTTGTTAGCAATTGCTCTTATCCAAGCTCTATCTTTATCGCTATACGCATACCAAATGCTAGAAGCCAGTAGGACAAACCCTTCAGTCTTTTCCATCTCATTGGCACTAGGATTTGGAATTTGTATGACTGGTTGTACGAAGAGAGAAGAAGTCTCCTTGGGAAGCATCTTCCAAAGTCCTGAATCTGCAAAATTAATCAAACTTTCATATTGCTACAAAATTAGAATAAAACAAATAAATAACTAAATAAGTGACAAATAATCAACTATAAGCACTCAAGTAAATAGCACCATTATTATCAGAAACTAATGTGAATATGCAGAAGAAAGATATCCCGCCCAAAACATGCCAATTGATCAGAATAAGTCACTAATATCTTGCTTAAAACCAAACAAAACTACGAACTTGCAGTTAATTAATTAGCTTAGCAAGATGGACACTCATATCTCAAAAACACAAGAAAGTTAGACGGTGACAATGAGCCTTATCTGAGCATAATGAACCTGAGGTTCTCCACTTTATCATTTTCCACAAGAACAGATGCAACCAAAAATAAACGCATAAATAAATCACTACATAAAAGGAATAGTCTCGAAAAATAAAGGGGGTCATCGCTAGTATCAATTATAGGCCTTTTGACTTTTGTTGATAGGGATCACAGGCAGAGAGCCCTCTCTTTCCAACCTCAGCTTCATCCAAGCCAGAAATCAAAATAATAGATACATACATAACCAAGAGACATTATTAAATCTGAGAAAGAAATTTAATAATGAATCACTCTCCTAATAAGAATATTGGAGACAGACCACAAAGTGCCTCATATTACAACTTTCCACATAATTCTCTATATATCTATGGCTCTAAGATTAAGGGATTCCATTCGCTCACTTTTAATTGAGTATAATTTCCCTTGTCTCTCCCTTTCTTGAGAGAAGGGAACCCTTTTGATTGTCAAATCAACTAATTTTTTAATGTCAAGACTTTTTAGCTCATACAGAGACAGAGAATTTATCATCTCTGCACGTTGTAAGAAGCCAATTTCTAGTATATTTTTCAAGTACCATTCCTATTTATTACCGATGCGCAAAATTAATAAAGAAAAATAGAAAGAGAGAAAGTATTCCAATACATAAGATTACTATTTTCTAGAGCAAAGGCCAATTTTTACCAGCACTCTGAGGAAAGTAGAGGCTCTCCTTCAAATCAGACAAGCCAATCTTCTCAATCTGTCTCTCAAACCATTCAACTAGTTGAGTTTTCGATGAACCATCTAGAGTGTTCCAGTAGCCACGTATGCATAACTTCCCTCGAAATGATATCAACTGAAAATTGGCAACAAGAAGCATTTAACTAATGCTGATAATTAATATTATGAATAAAATGGAGCACCAGCATACCATATTACAGGAAAGGTTATAGTTGAAAATACCACAGATATGGAGTTTGTATTGCGCAATAAAACATAGGTAGCCCAAGCCATATCCTCCTTCAAAGTATCCGAGATATTCTGTGACATGACAAAAATTTGCTCGGTATTTTCAGGAAGAATTTTCTGATCCACTGGAGTAGCACCCTGCATGATTTCCCACATCCTTACATCAATCGGCAAGCATTAACTTATCCTAGTCTAATAAACTTGAAAAGGAAAAAAATGGAAAATCACACACTATTGTTTACTTGTTTCCACTTAATAGGTTTAGGATTAAATTTTAATACAAACTTTAAATTGGTAATACTACTAAATCACAATTATACAGTATTTGATTCAAAAAGCTAACCTAATTTGTCAGTAGTTTTACTAGCAAATGTGTTTTCATCATTGTTAAAATTTAAAAAAATAATCCTGAAACTTATAACGTATCTAGTCTTTTGAAACTCATATCAGGCCATACATTTTTAGATTAACAGAATGAAACAACATTAAAAAGTTCAAATTCATGAACAAGTGAAAAATTACAAATATAAACAACAAAATGAAAATATATATATACATAAATACGTAGATTTACCTTGAGAAAATTACCGAGGTAAGGAAGTACGACAGAAAATGCAGCCAAAGAAAGGCCAAGTCCCTCTGCTCTCTGTAAACAAAAAAAAATCCTGAAAAAAAAAAAAATCCAAGTAAAAATAAACCAGCACGAAAAAACAGAGTTAGCTAACCAGCTGCGCTGAGGTGACTGAATTGGAGAATACGAAATGATTCAACACCAGAAGCGAGCCGAATCCGTAGCCGATCCATCTCGGTAGATACGACTCGTCGAATCCAGGTATACCTGCAACCAAACAGAAGCGTCTAAGCTTAGAAAAACAGAAATTCAAAAAAAGTGTGTAAGCATATACATGTATGCGAGTTACCGAATGTGAAACGTAGAACGGAGAGATTGAGTTGTTGCTCCGGCTGTTGTGAATTGTCAAGGCGGGCGGAGATTGATGATGATTTGATGCTGGTTTTGGCGCGATATTTGGTTGGAATTTTTAACTGAATTAACGGATTGGATAAGAGGATGCTCATTTTCTATTTTTTCTGTTTGTGAAGGAGTGTGACTGTGTGAGAGAAATGAGAGGATTTTGGTACGGTGATGCCACTCCATCAGGCGTCATAGACTGTCGTAGCTTCATAAACAATCTTACCGACCTTGTTTTGTAGATTGGCAAGTGTAAGCACGCGACAAGCGAGGTGAGTGGTTCTTGTAATTGATATCGATATCGTGATGTGTTTTTAATTTTGTATGTAATTACAGCTATTTAATACGAAATAATATCATATTATTATAAATATGTCAACTGCACCATAATAATACCGGTCAAACAATATCACAAATAACGAGATATTGTACGCATTAGTCAAGAGCTTTAATTAAGTTTGGTTCACTTTCGTTGTTAACAAAGATGAATATTAATGGATATATTTAATCGTTAATTTTAGAGTTTAAAAATGATTAATCAAGATATATATAAACTGACTTAAGATCCTAAATCACCAAAACGAAAATGTTACCGATATAACGCTCAAGCTCAATATAAATACAAGTAATTGAAATCAAAATTCAAACACTAAATTATTCATTTATTAGTTAGCATGATTTGAGTATTATCATTTCTGATGGTGGTTGAAATTTCCCTTTGGATCTTTAATTAATTTTTTTTTTTTTTTTATGCATAGGAATATCGTGAATCAATAAAGAGGGATCTCTTTTTGAAGAATCAATAATTTTACAAGATAAATGGCTTTATTCCCTATTTCTTTTTTGAAGACGAATTTGACTAAATTCTAATTTAGTATTGAGAAATGGAGGGGAGAAAGGAGCCCAAGTGCGAGTAGAAAAGCCTCTGGCGGGAATAATACTGCGAATGGAGCAGTAATTAGCCCACAGGAAAACTAGTACTAGCGGTTTTCCAAGTTCTGGAGCTATTTCATTTCATTGGTTGCACGTGGCTTTCCACACGTCATGTGAGCTCTTCACATTTAAGCATGTGGAATGTCCCTATCATTATAAACGGGACATTACTGCTATCAGTATATAATAGAAGGGTCAATTTTTAAAGTCTATACTATTACAACAATTCATCTAATTTATTTAACACGTCATGAGTTGTAATAGTATAGACCAGTGCTCTGAAAATCATACCAGACCACTCGATCGGACCGGTTCGACCGACAACCGACGGTAAATCTGGTCCGATATATATAAAAAACCGTTATTTGAAGTTAAACTAGATTGGATCGCGGTTGGACCACCAGAATAGTGCCGAATCGCGGTCCAATCGTCGCTGGATTCTGGCATCTTTCGACGAAAAAAACGCCTTCATTCGACGGACGGCATCTCCAAGACCAAACCCATCAATTTTCAGTCGCCGTCGTCCAGCCTTCGTCGATCGCCGTCCACCTAAAGCTTACGGCTTTACGCGACGTCAGATTTCTTTCGTTGATTCCGGCGAGTTCCGACGCCGATGGAACTCCGTCACACCACCATCAGAGTCGCCGGCACTTGCACATCAAAAGCCCCAAGATTCCAGCTTCAATTCGCCGCGGATCGTCGCTGCCGCCACACTCACCAGAATTTTAGCGTGACAGGGGTGTTTTAGACAGATTTCAAACCTTAAGGGAGTACTATAGGGGTGTTTTTGATGAATTTCAAACCTTTAGGGACTAAATTTTTTTTATAAATTACGGTCCAACCGACCGATCCAATAGGTCAAACCGGCAATCGAACCCTTGAATGGGTTATTGTCTGGTTCGGTTTTCAGAACATTGATGAATACACTCCATTGAATTGTTTTTATAAGCCCTTGATTATAAAACTGTTATTTATTTTTTAAATCTTCTAGTTTTAACTAATTTTTATTGGGTTATCACAACTTTTTGCTCCCTTTTATTTTTAAATATGGATATCCTTTTTTAATAATGGAAACCACAATTTTTTTTTTTTTTTTTAACGATTGAAGTATTTAGACTAGTTTGTGTTCACTTTAATTAATCCCCGAAACCTATTAAATATCTTACAAACCCAATCTTCTAAAATAAATCACAAATATCGTAAGAGGCCCCGAGGTTTAAACCCAAGATATTAATGAAATTGAAATCACAATCAAGATGCCAAAATGGGTTGATACTAATTTTGGAGCTGTTTATTTAGTATTTGAATTCATTATTTTTATAAAGAATAATATTATACATAAAAAGTTGGCATATAAAGTCTTCTGTACAAATTCACATGGTACAAGATAAATAGAGTTAATATAAAAGTCAACTTTTATAAATAAATTTACGTGTTAGATATTTCTAACCGAATTTTAAACAATACTAGAATCAGAGTTGGATTTGAACAATTTTTCGATAAGGGTCTGCTTGGGAGTTTTATGGTAACGATTATGAGGGTAAAACATCGTAGCGGTTTTGAGGGTAAACCACTGTAACGGTTTTGAGAAGTTTTTAGTTGCGGTTTTTAAAACACTCAACCTGTGCTTGGGAGTTTCTTTCCAACGGTCTTAACAGTTTTTTTAAATGATAAATTTATATAAATACCCATAAAGTTAAAACACTCTCTCTTTGCTTAATTAACTTGATAAATATAGATATTTGTGTTGGCTGATTCACTTGCAATGTGTTCTTCCATGACAGTGGTATTTCTCTTAATTCTAGCAATGGTTGGTGATCCTGCCTTCTTGCACTCAGCAATTTTTATAGCAAGAACTTGTTGAATATCGCCCTTTTCGGAACGTTGGTCGCCTTTGTAACTGGATTATACACGTAATATCACCAAAGAGTGAATGGTTAGCCATCATTGTCGCGTGATAGGCTCCAGTGTTCCATTTCTCATCAAATTTTTTGAGAAGTCTTCCACTTCAAACCCTTTTGTTATAAAATGTTCAAGGGAACAATGAGGAAACCGTAATCACCTACAGCCCTGAAAGAAGGCGTTCAAATCTTAGTTATGGATACAGTCAAGCCAAATCACCTCACTGGTACCAATCTATTTGATATAATAATTCTGTTTACTTGTTTACTGTATGCACCCTTCTCTAATCTTTTTTTAGGATCTTGTTTTAATAAGTTTTATTAGTTATATATTTGTAAAATAATTTAATTATAACATGATTGCTAATTATTTCTGTGAATTGCGATTGTAAAAGGATGTGTGGCAGCAAAGGATTCGTGTGATTGTAAAGGGATTTGTGTGCAGCAAAGGGATTCGTATGCAGCAGCGAGAGATTTGTGTGCTAGAGCGAAGTCAACAGCAACAAGAGATTTGTGTGCAGCAAAGGGAGTGGAAAGGGGTTTTTTTGAGATTAAATTTATAAACCAGCCAAAACACCCCGATTTGGGGTGTTTTAAAACCCCTTAAAAATACACTACACGGTTTGGGGGGTTTTTAAACCAGTCAAACAACCCATTAAAAATTGGCAAGTGCGGGTTTTTAAACACCTCAAAACCAGTCCAATTAAAAACCCTCCAAAACCAATTAAAAAAAAAACTCTCAAGCAGACCCTAAGAGTTAGGTTGATAGAAGCCCATAAAATCAGCATATAATAATTTTAGAAAAACTTGAAATAACCTTATAAAATAATATTATACTTGCATATTAAATATAAAAACAACATTGTAACATATGATAATTTCAAAAAAACTTGAAATCAACCTTTACATCCATAATATTATACTTTGCATTAATAAATCCAAACGTACAAAATTGTAATCTCAAATTTGTATTATATTCTTTTTTTTTTTCATAATCGGGGTGGGTAATTTCGGAATCCATTGAACATTTTACAAGCCCAAATAACTAGAAAAACCACAATATTATTATATGAGGTAGCCCCAAGATTTGAACTTACGAACTCAAAGAAGAGAGCAAATCTCCTAACCGTCAGACATATCTCCATTAACTTGTCAAATCAATTGTTACGGGGTTGGAACACAAATTTAAGATCCCAAATTTGGAAACAGAACCGGGAACCGAGATTAATATAAATAAAATTAAAGAGTATGGGGTTATAAAAACTTTGTAGAAAAAGTAATGTGAATACTTTATATTTATATTTCATAACTAAGTTGGTTTGACTTTTGAGAATCTACATTTACAAAGTAATAGAGTTGTTTAATTGAATTTATAATTTATAATTTATTCTGTTAAGAGGAGGGGGGGGGGGGGGGGGGGGGGGGGGGTTATTTGAAGGGTTTTTTTTTTTTTTCATTTTAAAAGCTTTTGAGGGGTCCTTGTAATTTTACAGGTTACCATAATCGGAATCGGAACCATTGTTACAGGTTCCGATTCTAGTTTCAAATTTCAAGGAAACGCTGGTTTCGGGTCTAAAAAAATACAGGGTACCCAGAACTGAACACTTCTATTTAATATTATCTTTTGTATTGACAACATAAACAATGTCATCACCGGTCTAGAAATATGGTCCTCATTGGTTCTTTCCAAAAAATATAAGGTGTTATGAAAAATGAAAATTATCTCAAACCATAGGAATATATTCAGAAGTTGTCTAGAGTCTGGCCCTAGATCAATCAACGGTTGAGATAAATAATCAAAGCACATGGACCATTAATTTTGTGCCCTGCACGTGCATCAAATGCTAGTGTTCCTTTCAGCAACGTTTTTTTGACGTTGAATTGTTTTAGATTTGAATATTAAAAGGACGTGACGGACAAAAATGAAAATGGTAAAAGATGAAGATGCTACTTTGGTCCATATTAGATTGCTACATTTTTTAATGCAATATACAATATGAAAAGATAGTATAATGATTTTAAGTCATGAGGTTAAGGATCAAGGGATTGGTGCAAAGAAAAGAATCAAGTCAAATAATTAGTGGAGCAATATCTGTAGTAATGATATTAAGGCTTTAAGTTATTAAATATTCCAGAAAGAGGCCAATTCAATACTATATGGTTACTTAGGTCAATGTAATAGTGGAACAATTATTATAATTAATAAATTGTGAATACCATATTAAATTACTTCTAGAGAAAAAGCATATTTTTTATTATTCCTATATATATATAATAATATATATATATATATATATATATATATAATAATATAGAATAATAAAAAAAAAAAAAATATATATAATATTATATATATATATAATATATATATTATAACAAGGATGTCTAGAATATTTGCGTGATCTTAGCTAATTCTTAAAGTCCATTGAACACCCCTATAAGCTAATAGGTCAGATAATTCACAAATGTAATATATGACTACTTGGTGAAACCGAATATAAGACCTTTAGGTCACTTAAAGTCTTGTCATTGGCCACAATATTAATACTAAAAAATTATAGTTTAGCCTTTTTTTTTTTTTTTTTGTATTAAAAACTGTAATTTTTATTATTTCGTATTTTATTATTGTCAAATGAAGGAGGATTTGATTTTCAAAAAAATTAAACTTAATAAATTTTCATATATGATAGAAGAATAATGTTTAATATCTTCTAATTGTTTAATAATTTTATTATTTTAAACGTAGTATTAATATAAGATTATCATATTAATATGAATAATATTTATCATTTACATTTTAAATACTTTTTTATATTTGAGATATATACTCAAAACAATTAAAATTTGTTCTCAAATTTAATAATTGAGCCGGTTTTATACCAGTTCAGGTCATTGGTTGTATTATTAGTCATTAGTATCGAGTATCTTTTAATGATCAAAAGTTGATCGTATAAAAATAAAACCATATAATAAATCATTAAAAGAAGGCATTTACTTTAACATTTTGAAACCTTTTCGGCAAACACATATCAAACTTGGGATTGATTGTAATAAAATATAAACAATTGAACATACTTTAACAATATATTGGGATTATAATTATGTCACAAAATTCTTCAAATGTTAGGTACGTTTTATTTAAAAGATTATCAAAATTCATTAATAAAACTGCCCATCTAATATTATATGATAGCCCATAGCTTTATTATTTGTAATCAGACACTACATAAAATCAAAGGTTAACCCAAAACTTGATCAACGATGTTGACACTCATTCTAAATAAAATTCTTTAAATCTTGTGCCTCCAATAAAAAACCAGTTTCTCTTCCTTATCTAACAGCCATGTCATTTGATTAGCTCTCTCAATTTAAAAATAAATAATTGATGACTTAAAAAATTACAAAGGAAAGCAAAAGCTGCAAAACAAAGGTCTATAATTTAATTTTAAAAGTCTTTACTGTTAATTAAAATATAATAGAAAATTACAAAATTGCAAGATTTTTAATCTAATATTCTATGCTTTTTACACTGGCAGCAGCTCACACGAGTGCCTGTTTCTATTCTAACATGTTATTTACACGTGGCAATGCAACCATCTATCCCTATCCTTTAATCCTAAATCAGTAAATTTCAAGACATTATCATATACATAAGCATATTTTTTTTGGCAAATACGGCAACCAATTGCCTTCATTTCAATACCACAATTACCCCTATTATTTAACAAATGAATCCCTATATCCTGCACATTGCAACGTGGCGTGTTCTGATTAAAGAACAGCTTAGTTGGTGTGACTGTATTAGATACTAGCTCATGAGACCTACCCTAGGCAATCTATAGATCAACAAATGATATGACGCCACGTTATACAAACTCGCGTCGCCACCGCGCGATCAAACACCGACTACGGTATACAATTCTTTTCAAGACACGTGTCCAGTGATTCACCTGATATTGCCGGTGACTTACCAGTGCAGCCGGTCACTCCCTCTCTGCAATTCCCGCTAGGTATATAAACAGCCTCCTCGAACACCCTCTCTCTATAATTCTTCAGTTTCTAAAATTAAGCTAGCAAAAAGTAACGTTTGCTCTTTTCCAGCTCGTGATTTTCAGGTTAGTGTTCTCTTTTAACTTTTTGTTTATATCTTTTTTTCGTTTATAAATTTTGCTTAATTTTATGCAATAGAGTCCGTTGTTTTGTTTGTCTTCTTATATGTTGATCGATCTCAGGAACTGTAAAAGCAAAGTTTGCTTTTGAAATCAGTGTTTGCAACTTTTATTGCTTTGCTTTTTCTTGATCTCCTTGTTTAAGAGTTCAATTAAGGTTAATCGGTTGATTTTACCGACCTTTGAAGTTCGGGAACTTTTCTTTATTGTAGTCGATTTGAGCTTGATCACAGTTCGTGGTTCACGATACGCGTGATTGATTCGAGGTTAAAATTCAGTAGGAGTTTAATTTTGTAAGTTGTAGGATTAATTTACTAATACGCGTTCTTAATTCTACTAATTTGGAGTCTTAGTCTGTATCAGTTGTATTCTTTTAGCTAGCTGAGTAAAAATTAGGGTTTTCGAGTATAGTAAAAAAATTTAGCTGTTTTCCTTATTAAGGAGTTAATTTGGGAATAATTGTTGTCTCTTCAAGTTTTTAGTTTTGATAAGTTTATCTAGGTGAGATGCTGTCAAATGTTGTAATTTTTCTTTTGGTTTAACTTATTTTATTCTATTGCTAATTTTGTTGTTTGCTTTTTCTATTGAACATTGTTTAGATCCCTACAACAAATTTGTCGAAAGCTCAAAGATACCATAAACATTGCACTCTATTTGGTCACGCAAGAGGTTGTAGATTTGTAATAACATTGAGTTAGTTGATGACAGTAGTGAATCAGGGGTTCAGATTTTGTTTCTCATTGGTCGGTGGAGTGGGAAAACTTAGATAATTCTGTTGTGTCTGTGATATGCTTTTTGGGATTTTTTCTTTTATTTGCATGGCTTTTGTATTTTTATGATATTGAGGGAGTTGAGGAACATATTTATTATTGAAAGTAATAGTCAGGCCTGGCTCTGGAAAGCTATTTAGACTCCAGCCACCAGGAGGTGGTGTCCCTTATGGCACCATCTCGGGTGACTGGAGGGTTGACCCAGTCTTCCTCAAGTTCCGGAATTTTCTTCCAAGGAGATGGGCAGTCCCAGGCTGTAGTTAACTCTCACTTGAGCTCATCATATGGGAACTCATCTAATTCAATTCCTGGGACTGGACGCCCCAATCTGGGTCCGGTTTCTGGGGATATGAATAATGCGGTGTTGAACAGTGTGGCAAACTCAGGACCAAGTGTGGGGGCGAGTTCTTTGGTCACAGATGCAAACTCGGCTCTTTCAGGAGGCCCTCATTTGCAGAGAAGTGCGAGCATCAATACAGAATCCTATATGCGCTTACCTGCATCACCATGTCATTTTCATCTAATAATATTAGTATTTCGGGTTCATCAGTTGTTGATGGGTCCTCTGTAGTGCAGCAGGGCTCTCATCCAGACCCGAGTGCCCAGCAAGTGCAGCAGAGTCAGCAGCAAGGGGCGTCGAGTGCTACATCCTTGCCCACATCACAAACTGGCCAAGTTTCTCTTCCCATGGGCCCTCGAGTACCTGGATCCTTCATTCAGGACCCTAATAATCTATCCCAGGTGCAGAAGAAACCACGATTGGATATCAAACAGGAGGACATTCTGCAGCAGCAGGTGTTTCAACAGCTGCTGCAGAGACAGGACTCCATGCAGTTACAAGGTCGTAACCAGCAGTTACAGGCTTTGCTGCAGCAGCAGCAGCAGCAGAGGCTGAGGCAGCAACAACAGCAGCAGATTCTACAGTCCATGCCACCTTTGCAAAGGGCCCAGTTGCAGCAGCAGCAGCAGATGCAGTATAGGCAGCAGATGCAGCAACAGGGAATGCAACCCTCAAATGCACTAAAGCGCCCTTATGATAGTGGTGTATGTGCTCGCCGGCTGATGCAATACTTATATCATCAGCGACAACGGCCTTCTGTGAGTTCACTAATTAGTTGATTGCTTGTGGTACCACCTATTTGTTTAAACCTTTTTTTTTTTTTTTGCACTTCCTTGATGCAATATATTGCTAATATTACCCTCATGCAACTTCTCATTTTTTGAATTAATATGTCATTTATGCCCATGCTTTTTTAATCATCATATGGTTACATGCATAATATAGTTTGTCTTGCAATTTACTTAAATTTCTGAAGCTCATTGGTTTTACATCAATCTTGATAGGAAAATACTATTGCGTATTGGAGGAAGTTTGTGACGGAGTACTATTCGCCTCGTGCAAAGAAAAGGTGGTGCTTGTCATTATATGATAATGTTGGACATCATGCACTTGGTGTTTTCCCCCAAGCAGCTATGGTCAGTTTTTGTGATGTTTCTAATTTAGGAACCTTAAGATTTTTGCCATGCTTTTCTAAAGTTAATAAGTGAAATTTTCATGTAATATAAAAATATTTCCCATTACACTATGATGATCTCTTGAGCAAGCTTCTATCACGGAGGAGTAGAAAAAAAAAAAAAAAAAATGCATTAATTTCATATCTTATAGATAATTATTCGTCTTAACATATCCCTTTATTTTTTCTTTTTATATCTTATGGTGTTTTATTTTCTTTTCCAGGATTCATGGCAGTGTGACATATGTGGATCAAAATCTGGGAGGGGATTTGGTAAGGGATTTGAGAAGTTTTACAGGCTGTATTTGGAATCTTTTACTCTTAAAGTAGGATTTTGGTAATGCTTTTACATAAAAATCAGACTTCAAAATTGGTCAAGCTGAGTTTGCGAACAATTGTATGCCAAAGAGAGAAAAGGTTCCCTGATTTCATATGAGTCAGATAATTCTCTACTCAGATTCTTAACAATCTAGTTGTAGATCATTGTTGAGTCTGCTTATCTGGTCACCACTAGAATTGAAGAGAAACTGCCAATATAGTTTATACTCTGAGTGTTTGTTTTGCATGATTAAATTCTTCTTATTAGTTGTTATAAAGGAGTTAGGCTGCAAAATAGTAATGTTCAACGCAAAACTTTCTTATTCTGTTTGTCAGTTACTGTGTTATGATATGTTGATTCAAATGATACCTAACTATAGTTTTTATGGGGCCTGCTTGCAGAGGCAACTTTTGAAGTGCTCCCTAGGCTGAATGAAATCAAATTTGGTAGTGGTGTCATTGATGAGCTTATGTTTTTGGACTTGCCACGTGAATGTCGATTTCCTTCTGGAATAATGATGTTGGAGTACGGAAAAGCAGTTCAAGAGAGTGTGTATGAGCAGCTTCGTGTTGTTCGTGAGGGTCAGCTTCGTATCATATTCACCCATGACCTAAAGGTAAAAAAGCAAAAAGATGCTATTTCACTTTTAGAATTATTGGCTTATGTGGACTGACTAACCTGTGGGGACCTCTATGCTTTTTTAGATATTGTCATGGGAATTTTGTGCTCGTCGTCATGAAGAGCTTCTTCCTCGAAGATTGGTTGCACCACAGGTACAGATTTTTCATACCTTATTATCTATTTCTTTGATTTAGTTGATCTTAAGTTTCTCTGATGTACTCATGCATAAACAACAAAAAATCTTGATCTTGCTGTTAATAATTATTGTGGCATGTTTTGCTTCTCTTATTTCATTTAAATTGGTCCTCATATTTCAAAGACTGGCCTTTGAGATTGTTGGTCCTGTGATTGAAAACTGGCAGAAGCGACTCTCTACATGGGATGCACATTTAAGGACAGAAAGTCTGCTAATTAAGAGATTGGGGTAGGGGTGGGGAGTTTTATTATTTAATTTCTTTTTCCCTGAAATGGTAGTGTTCTCATTATAATGAGATTCTTAGTTCAATGACACATTTATTGCTGAGGCAAAAGCAATTCGTTTATTGCAATTCACTCTGACCCATGTAAGTCTCTGCCTTGAATATGTGCTTTATTTTATCTTGATTCTTTTGTCCATAAGTACAATCTTTTGCCTTGCTGAATGTGTGTAATTTTGGACAGTCTTCTTAATTGTAAACATATTTTATTTCTTCACATTATGAAGGTCAGGATATACACATTTCTATATATATTTGTAACATGTACTGCTTATCATACGTCTTTCTGCAGGTCAACCAGTTGGTTCAAGTTGCCCAAAAATGTCAGAGCACAATTTCTGAAGGTGGAGCTGATGGGGTCTCTCAGCAGGACTTGCAAACGAACAGCAATATGTGAGTTAATTGAGCCACAAGTGACATTTTATAGATGCCATTTGTTTCCTTTTCCTTGTGATTTTGTCCTCTAATATTGAGGGGCATCGGTAAAGTAATCTATTACAATGGTTAATGGCTTAAATGTTCGGCAAGTTATTAGTGTGGTTCCTGGTGAGCTGGTTGTGCTGTATTTAGGAGATGTGTTTAGTTACCATTTGCTATTTAATACTGCGTGTTATTGCTCTGATTTGAGCCTGGTTTTATTTTATATAAAAGGATTCTGTGAATCATGCTTAGTTTGGAGTGATTAGGAATGAATGCAAACACCTAATGCAGAGAATGTACTTACGCTTGTTCTTTGTTCTAATTCAGGGTCCTGACAGCTGGACGTCAGCTTGCAAAGAGCTTGGAGCTCCAGTCGTTGAATGACTTGGGATTTTCTAAAAGATATGTGAGGTGTTTGCAGGTAAAAGTTTAGCTGTTTCAGGGTTTCAATTCTAGTATTAAGTAATGTAAGGCGTGTTTGTATAATTTCTGAGTTTTTGTACAGTAATTGACATCAATTATTTCAGATCTCTGAGGTTGTCAACAGCATGAAAGATTTGATAGATTTCTGTCGGGAGCAAAAAGTTGGGCCAATTGGTAACTTTCTGTTGCTTGTTTTTCATATATCATTTTATACTTCTATATTGACCTTTATAGATAGTTATCTTGGTGTTCTATCTTCTGGATTTTATGAAATATACTAGGTACATTTGTAACTCCTGTTAACTTGTGATACTATATGTATATCTGCTACTGAAAGGATCAAGATAATATGGAACTTGTATCTGGTCACAGTCTTTTAAATCATATTGATAGAATGTAGTTCTCTATGACATGGAGATTATATCATCTTAAATTAATACTAAATTGGAGCAATCTGTCTGGGAAATATGGCCTTTCCCCACTTTTGTTCTGCTTGTTTAGCCGCCATTTCCTCTAAATGCAAATGGATGTTGGATTGTTTTTTATGGAAGTACTTAGTAATATGTGGCAGATTTATATTGTCTGTTCATCTTCAAGTCTTTAGTTTTTGGTTGAGTTTGAAGTGTACAATCCACTCAAATTTAGTTTCTTTATGATGGGGAGCTCTTATTTATTTATTTCTCCTATTTGATGAAGTATAATTCTTGTTATGGTAATTGTTTTTTCCCCCCAATATTTTTGAACTCTGTTGTCCAATTTTGCTTAGTTATTTCAGTTGTATGTTATTTTTTCATATGACCAGAGAACGCAGTTATTTTATATTTGTTATTTATTTTTTCCAAATTTATATGTTTGCTTTGATTTCATACCAATCCTTAATTGCAGAGGGCTTGAAAAATTATCCTCGACATGCATCTGTGTCTAAGCTCCAGATGCAAAAGATGCAGGAAGTGGAGCAGCTGGCAAGTGCTCAGGGTTTGCCAACAGACAGGAACACCCTCAATAAGCTGATGGCATTGCATCCTGGAATAAACAACAGTATGAACAATAACCATCACATGGTTGGTCGAGGAGCTTTAAATGGTTCAGCACAGGCTGCTTTGGCACTTACTAATTACCAGAATCTGCTCATGAGGCAGAACTCAATAAATTCAAACTCTAACTCGCATCAACAGGAGGCATCTTCTTCGTTTCATAATTCTAACCAAAGTCCAACTTCAAGCTTCCAAGGGCCTTCTGCGTACATGCAGGGCTCCCTGCAGAACTTGCCAGTTAGTGGCTTTTCTAGTCAGCATCTACCTCCACAACAGCCACATCAGCTGCAGCATCGTTCTCTGAGTTCAAATAACATGCTCCAACAGAATCATTCACAGCCCTCTCAAGGTAACCCGGCCTTACAGCAGCAGCAGATGATCCAGCATTTGCTGCAGGAGATGTCTAATAACAGTGGGACAGGAGTGCAACAGCAATCTCATAGTGGGCAGGCGAATGGGATTATGGGAAGGAGTGGATTAGGTTTTGGAGGCAATTCTCCGGCAGCAACTGCAGCCACCTCCAATGTGTCAGGATGTGTTGCAGGTCCACCAAGCCGGAGCAACAGTTTCAAAGGTGCTTCTAACAGTGATTCATCAGCGGCTGGTGGTGGTGGGAATAACGGATTTAACCAGAGAGCACAAGATTTGCCTCAGAATCTTCATTTGCAGGATGATATTGTTCAGGATATAGCTCATGAGTTCACAGAAAATGGGTTTTTTAACAGCGACCTTGACGATACAATGGGATATGGGTGGAAGGCATGACGAACTAAAGGCTAGCTCAATTATTGGCTTCTGTTGAGTGAGTGTTGGGCATATATCGTTGTAGTTTGTACAGAATATTTGGAAATAGCTGCTTTTTTGGCTTTTCTGATTATCGAATTTGTTGTGACAGCATGCACTTGTACTCTATTAGGTTATTTAGTGATCATTTTTTTTCTCTTTTTTTCCTTTTTATTTTTCTTCTTTCTTTCCTTTAAGTTTTTCCTGTCTCCCAAGTCATTGCAAGTGTAATCTATTGGACAAATGGTAAGAACAGCTTCTGACTCCAGTATCTCCTTCCCTATTCCTTGATTGCGATACATGTTTTTAAAATTCAATATTGTCATGTTTCGATGAGAAATTTTTACATTTATTTATCTTGTAAATGAATTTATTAGCTTTTTACACATCCCAGTAAAGTCAAGATGAATATCTAGTGCATTGTTTTTGATCAAGAGCGGTTTTCGAAGCATTTAAGAGTTGCGTTTAAAGTTTATACACATTTCGTTGAGATTTTATTATATTAAGAATCTTTGGATGCTTTTGTTGGATCCATAAACGAGATTCTCGTTTTGTAGTGTACAAAAATTATATGGTCATAGTAGGCCAAGGTCAGAAATAAATACATTTGGCTTTTACGTATCATAAAATCATAATGAGGTAATGACTATAGATTAGATATTTGAAACAAAAAAAAAAATAAATTCAATTCTGCAACACTAGTCTGGAAATTAAAAATAGCCAATATCAATGATTTAAACTTACTCTTAAACAATGAAAATAATCAAGTTTTTGTAACAGGTAGGGCCTAGGGGTGTAAACGAGTCGAGTATCACCCTAAACGAGCCTGGTTCGGTTAAGTATTAGACGAGTTCGAGTCGACCGAGTCAGGAAAATTTGGCTCGTTTATAAACGAGCCGGCTCGTGACTCGACTCGAGCTCGTTTAACGCAAGCTCGAATTGGCTCGAGTATGGCTCGATTATGGCTTGTTTGACCCTTTTTTAATATAACTTGCAGATCTTGTTTTACACAAATCAGATCCAATTTTTGATAAATTTGCATCTAAATCACATCCAAATCAACATAAACAACGTATTACACAATCCAAGAGGACCAAGACAACAACAACAATAACAAAAAAAAAAAAAAAAATACAAATGTCCATCAAAATTATCATCAAAACGGCATAGAACTTTGGGGGAGAATGCATTTACGCGATTTGATTTTGGGTTAATTGGGGTTATTTGGTTAAGGGTTAATTTGTGATTTTTTAAACCTTTTAGTCTTTTACATGTCAAATTATAAAACAAACCAAAAACTTGTATTATACCCTAAACCAGCCACTATTGGCTCGCGAGCCGGGTCGAGGTAGACTTGAACTCGGCTCGGTACCTTACTCGAGTCGAATTCGAGCTGGCTCAGCTCGATTATAATCAAGCCGAGTTCGAGTATTTAACGAGCCGAGCCGAGTTGACTCGCGAGCGGCTCGGCTCGACTGACAGCCTTAGTAGGGCCTGTTCTTATTCTTTTCTCTAGTGTACAGTCGTCATCACTCTTACCCAAATACTAGTAATTGAATTACAAAGGTAGAGGCAGAGCCAGGCCCTAGCTCTCCATAATTCTCCTTATATTACAGAGAAAAATAATATAGTTACCAAAAGGAGTGCACCGAATTCATGCACCGAATGACGTGATACAATCTTAACTGTCGATTAATTATGAGTTAATATTAATCGACGGTCAAGATTATGCCACGTCATTCGGTGCATGAATTCAATGCGCTCTTTTCGATAACGATAACATTACTCTATTACAAATTCTTTTTGTTTGTTCTCATCCTCTTGGATAAGGCTTCCAAGCTGGCACTTAGCTGGCAAGTGCAAGTCAGCGATTTTTATTTTTAATTTATCTTTTTCATCATATAAGAATAAAAAATGCTATCCTTATTCACTCCCTTTACTCACTTCTCTTACTCACTTTTGTCACTTTACTCACTCCCATACTATGCTGTATATTTACAAAAGTGAGTAAGAAAAGTGAGTAAAGGAAGTAAGTAAGGGTAACATTACTCTATAAGAATTCGATTGTTTAACAGAAACAATGAAGCTGTGGTCCATGACTGGAGACAAAACATGCCCCAGTTTAGTCTCATCTCCATTCACTAGAATAGAAACAACAATATGGGTATTAAAACAAATCTCAAAATATTTATGCAAAACCACCCAACAAAGAACTAATTCACCAAAATTAAGGAACATAAAAAAAACAGGCACAAATGCATATACATTATTCTGCTGTAATTGCAACTATCAGTGGACCTCTAAAAACTAACCCACATCTCCTAATAAAGAGTTGCACAATATATATACTGCAAGATCACCTGACAAACTTAAAACTTATTTTTTTAATCTTTCTCGGAATTCACTTGGATATATCGACACAGAATCTAAACATAACCCTCCTTTTGTATGTGTACAATCGATCTGCATCATTGAGAATTTGATCTTAGTAAGCATGTCGTGAGAGTTGTTGTCAATGGCGAAATCACCAACATGGTAGAGAACCCAGTTCCCTTGTTCATATAAACAACATTCAGAAATGGCTTGCTGTCCATTTGAAGTCGATAACTGAAACCTCACAGGTTTAATGTCCCACCCATGAACTTGTTCCAAATTACAAACCCTTCTGCCAAATCTTCTTGAAGCTTTCCCAAGCTGCAGTCTGAAAAATATACTGTAGCTCCCTGGAGGAAACTCAAACTCTAATTCTCCTATCGCTTCATACCACCATATTTGTTGAAGATATGCCACTGTGTGAAACCTGAAAATCAGAAGGAAAACATTTCTGTCAATGTTGTAAAAATTAAATATACATTTCTAGAACCATGTCATGGAAAATCAAAGCATGTCTAAGAATTTGTAAACACTCAATAATGGTAGGCTTGGCTGAGAACAAAAACAAGAAGAAAAATCTTTAGATCCTTTCACACAATCTTTCAGTTCAATAAAAAAAAAGCATTTTCAAGGACTTGTTCACGTTATACATGCCATATTTGATTCAATAACTTGTCAAAGATTTTTTAAGCGAAAGCGAGATATATTATATAACAATTGCAGTAACTTGTCAAAGAAATTGAACTAACCAGCCACGATAGACTGAAGTACAGTAACCAAAAAAAAAAACTTATTCTAATGCTTATGCGATCACTGACCATGATGTAGTCGTTGCAGGAAGCATCTAGCAACAGAGAAATGGTTTTAAATTAACTAGTGCTCTATTAACAAGACAAGTAATCTAATAAATAATTGAATTATCATCTTCTAAGCATATTATTATCTTCAAAGATAGCGAACTTGACCAGTGACCAGTCCTTTTCCATGGTAGCAAGTTGCAAATGGTTACTGGTGAACCCTTTTCCCAGATGGGCCTGCTTCGTTAATTAATGTATAAAATTGTTTAATCAGGGAGCCAATAAAAAAGATTTTAAAATATCAACGTTTTTGTCAACTTTTTCTCTTAAATTAGACAAGTAGACCAGCTGAATCCCTTCCAAGATTCTAATTATAGTTGTTTTGAATTTAGAAATGCTACCTCCATTAATAAAAGCTTGTAAAAAGAGGTTGAATTTATAAGTCTTATCTTCTAGCATATTATTCATCATATATTAGGAATTTTCGAAAAATTTAAATTAAAGTTTTCTGTGTTGTTTTTTCTTATTAAAAAGAAAATAAAAAAATCATAATTATAAACGACAATCATACAGAGAATACTGATAACTGATAGAACGAAGACGACCTACTTATGCTTTTGAAATGATATTCACAAGAAAAAATCTGGTAGTTGAAAAAAAATATTATCGGATGTGCCAATTGCCATAGCCCCACCAAGAACATAATTACGATATAAATATCTAAGTAGTTGTGATTTTTATTCTTTCTCCAATGAAAATAAACCTTTTCCCATCACACATAAATACAATATATTAGAAAAGAAAAAGGAAAAAAATAAATAAAATACCTGGATTCCTCCGTTGGAATGTGATTCCAATATCTTCGATCATCGATCCCTGTGATTTTCATTGCCTTTGCAGAAATGGACACACAAATTTTACCACTACCCTTATCCAACCATGCTTCCTGCATTAATTGAAGATGAAAACAAAACCATTTACAACCACATATTTTAGGCTTTTCATTTCTAAGAATTTTCCTCTACAGATACAAAGAATAAGGGTTTGATATCCATTAGAAGAGTTAATCATATGCTCAAAATTAGCTCAACATACCTTGGTGCCATTGTCGAAGCGACTAGGAAGACACAATCTTGCATAAATTTCTTTCTTGCTTATATTTTCTGGATTCTCATCAAGAACTTTCTTGACAAGAAACTTATAATTTGATGGTAACTTGGTTTCCCACACAAAATCAGCCAAAGAAGCGCCGTGAAAAGTCCTGTTCAACAGTGCCAATTTACAAATCTCCGGAGGATCAAAGTGCAAAAGAATAGACGATATACAATTTTCAGGTATATCCCCCAGACCAGGTGACCTTGAATATGAATCAGTCTCAGCTGCAAGATCAGACACTCCAACCCCCATAAATAAAAACAAAAAACAAATAAAAGAAACAAGACCGTTCTGTATATCAAGAAACCAAAGGTTTACAGATAGAGAAGAAGGTAATAAAAGAGTTCGGAGGTGGGAGGAGAGATTGAAGAAAGTTTCAACATTTTCTTGATCATGTATGTGTAAAAGATAGAGAGAGATATTAATTGGCCTTTCAGGCTATGAGAGATGAGAAAAAAGAAAGTGTAAGAAAAGGGATAAAGAGAAATTCTAAAATGGAGAGTCCCCACTGAGAAAAAAAATAATAGAAAATTTTAAACAAATTCAATTCATGAAGGGCGTGTACATGACTGTGCATGGAATTAATCTGTTTGCGAATAATTTTGTGTTATCCAAACACGGTTCCTGGTAGCGTGTTGGAAGCGGAAGAACAGTCAATTTTTTCAATTATTAAAACTGGAATAATTAATAATTAAACTAAGAATTAATTACTAACTTTACTTTTTTGACACTATCAAACAAAGCTTTACGTATATTTGAGTAATTGCTTAATAAATAAAACCCATACATTAAGTTAAACTATTTTTTTTTTTTAAATCATTGGAGTATATGTATACTTTTGTACGTATTTTAACTAATTTTCTAGATTTTTAAATTATCGATCGGATTAGAGTTCTAATGATAGTAGCCACACCTATTAGTGTCGGGCAGAATTCGAATTCGAATTCAGAATTCAGCTATTTTTATTTTAATCCAATACTTGATATTTATTGGATATTTCTTTTAAAATAATGAAAAGAATTGAATTCTTCACACCTCCTTTCCCATCAAGGTTTAGGTTATAAAAAGAATAAACAATTTGTTTATTGATATTTTAATTTTTTATTAATAAAATTTATTTCAAATGGTGTTTAATTATTTACGCCTTGTTATTATATAATTAACCTTCTATTTTGCATGTTATTTTAAGTTTTTTTTTGTTTTCCCTTCGTTTTCATTAAAAATGAAAAATATTATATAAGTGTCTAGTAATTTAATTGATAGAAAGCTTTATATGTTTATAAAAAAAAAAAAATACTCTTTTGACTATCAATGGTTTTAACTTTATAAATGAACATGGTAATAAACTCACGAGCTTGGAGAGAAAATGGAGTTAATTAATTCCAAGGGGTTGGTTTAGCAGTTAAGAAAGTTTGCTCTTGACTTTTTGGGATCGTCTAACACATTTATGGCTTACCTAAAATATTGGGTTTATAGGGTATTCGAACACCTTGTTTATCCAAAAAATAAAAAAAATAAAAAAAAATGGAGTGAATTCGCTTAATTAATTGCTTTTGTTTCAACTTTCAACTGTCTCTTGACGTTGGTGGTAATAAACTCACGAGCTTGGAGAGAAAATGGAGTTAATTAATTCCAAGGGGTTGGTTTAGCAGTTAAGAAAGTTTGCTCTCTTTATTGACTTTTTGGGATCGTCTAACACATTTATGACTTATCTAAAACATTGGGTTTATAGGGTGTTTGGATACCTTGTTTATCAAAAAAAAAAAAAAAAATGGAGTGAATTAGCTTAATTAATTGCTTTTGTTTCAACTTTCAACTGTCTCTTGACATTGGTGATTTGTTTTAGTTGGAAAATCTTAAGATTAACGTTAAATATACAAATATTTCCTACAAGCTGATGTAGTAACCTTGCATGTTTGATATATCATTTATCTTAATTATTGAGTTTATCTCATTTTAGTATATATATATATATGAGTTTGTAAGAAAAATTTATATATGTAATATTATTCAAATCTTAATAACTAATATTAATCTTTTAGTAAAATTAATTACATTTGTGGTGTATCTAATTAAATTAGATTAAGATTATTGTTTTTTAACCACTAGAAGGTCATAAAACTTGCACATGCACCCAACCTTAAAATTTATAATTGATATTTAATTATAGCACGTTGTTGACATGTATATATATATATTTTCTTGGTTTGGTCTGTCTCATTTGACTACTAACATGAGATTGGCAATTTATTAAGCAATGGATTACATAAAGACAACTGCACCATCATCAATATATTGGAAAAAAGAGATGCAATTCGACACATGAACTTTCATAAATTTATTAATATTATGAATAACTAATCGCTTTCATATAATTCTCTTAAAATAAATAAAATCTAAGGGAATTTCCATTTAAAATTTTAATAAAAAGTTTTGCAAATATGTGAATATTCTATCAAATTCAATATCCTTACTTACTACGGTTTCATTACTTTCATGCTAATAACCACCTTCATAAAATGCATAGTTACACATATAAATTTTGTTATCAATCCTTTTAAAATATATCTTTTACCCAATTAAAAAATGTCTTTTATCAACTACCTTTGGATAGTCAAACGGTTCAATAGAGACTCTTAGAGTTATGAGTTCGAGTCTCTCCTCGGTTGCTAATAGGGGTAGGAAGCTCTTACCTGATCCTTAATTTCAAGGTTCTGAAAGATTAATTAAGGTATGCGTAAGTTAGCCAGACACCTTTCATACAAAAAAAAAAAAAAAAAAAAATGTCTTTCTCAACTACCTTTGAGTGACCAAATGGTTCAATAGAGATTCTTGAATGTATTACTCAAGAAGTTTTGAGTTCAAATCTCTTCTCGGTTGCTAATAAAGGTAGGAAGCTTCTTAATTCCTCGATTGCTAATAGGTTAGGGGCTCTTATGATCCCTAATTTAGGATTCTAAAAGATTAATTATGTTGTGTGAAGTTAGTCACACCCGTTCATAAAAAACAATGTCTTTTGTCAAGACAATTGAGATTAAGGTAACTTTATCAGACAGCTGATCCCACTTTAACCCACATCCTAACAAAATAAAAGCAAATAATATTAAATTTAAAGTCAGAAATTCGATAAATTATTTGGGTATTCTGAAAATAGAAAATGGCTGTGGTTGGTCTATCGTTCTCTGAGGAACACAAAAATTTCAAAAATCGCACCAAATAAATAAATAATTTAGAAGTTTATATTATTGAAGCAATTTGTCCACGTAATTTATTAAGTCCACCAGCAGACTGGGGCTGAGTCAGCTAGTACAAAAGATAAGCCACCCATTGTCTTCATATTCATCCCTTCCATAAATGTCTTTTACTGCATTAATCATATATTATCACGTGTGAATAAGATGTTTTTGTTTAGTCTTGTGATTAGCATTGTAAACCTTTTCAATCGTCCATTAAAGAAAAAAAAAAAAAAACCATAAATTTTATTCAAGTAGCAGTAGGTTCCAAAAGTATTTCTTGGATGTGAATGGAACCTAGGAATTTGAGCAGGCATAATCTAACCCTACTTTATTGTCTGATTTGTGAATAAAAATGGTGGGAATTGATTCATTCTGGCTCTTAGGTTGTGGTGACTTTAATCTAGAATATGATTCTCTTTGTAAATTTCCACCAGCTATACCTCCATCTTCCACAGATACTTCAAGATTGTCTTTTGGAGTTAATTAATCTTAGGTTGCTGTTGCTTTGCCTTTGTTTTTAAGTAATAAAACAGTCGCATTTTGGTGAAAACATGAATCACATGCTGTTCCTAAATTATAACCAAAGTTTAATCTTAAATAACTCATCATGTACCCAAATGTTGAAAAAAGTTGATTAAATTATTAAGTTGAAACATTTGTCACATGAAGTCTGAAGACATGTAGCCACTGAAGGTATTTTAATGGCGGATGGATGATCTCACATTGCTGAAACCTAGCCGTAAATTGAGATTACCAAATATTATATGAGGTTTGTTATGAAATGGCCAACCACTTCAAATATTATAGTGTAAAAGTGTATATATGTTTAAATTTGACTGGAAGCTCTAGTTTATAAATTTTTCTGGGTATTTTGTTAATTGGCTTTCTCTGAAGTTTCAGAGATGACACCCTGGAGATTTGATCTTCTGAAAGATAGTGCGCTAACTATGCCAATATGGTTTCTTGTAATTGATTGATTTTCTGACACAAGACAGCAGCAAGAAAGTGACAGCAATAGTGGTTGTGTCGAGCATCAGTTTAGAAACTCAATTAATTCACCTTTAATATAATCGAAAATCTCAAATATCATAGTACTGGGGCGGTGCAGTCTCTATCATATCAGAAGCGTAGCTGCCTCATAATAACTTATACTACTTATCTCTTTATCTTCATTTTATAGCCTCTATTTTTGCACCTATCCCAGCCTTATGAAAGTGACATCCACTACTCAAGTTGCTGCATATCACATTACAACTGGATCAAGCTGGGAAAATCTTAAAAAAGAAAGAACCAAAAAGGGGAAACAGATACTAAACTGGAACTCTGAAAATGTGAAGAAACGTAAGTTCTGCTGTTTGATAGAGGCATATGTCAATTTGAAATCAATTTTTTAAAACTCAATCCAATAAAAGGTGATGCTGCTCACATGTCCATGGCGCAATTTGAATGGTAAAGTTCAGATAATATCTAATTCATGTTCTCAAATAACAAGTGGGGTTGTTGGCTTTCAATTTATGTTATAAAATTAAGCATGTGCTACAACTCCATGTGATTCGTATTCTTGGACGGCTGGATTTTTTTTACTATAAATATCATTTGCAATTGCAACGCAATAACATTCTGTCAAGTAGCAGAGCATACTGTGTTCAGAAAAATCAAAAAACAATAAATGGAGTGACAAATCTAACCTCTGTTGATAATTTTGCTAGTTTATTATGTTGTATTGCGTAACAGGCTGAGAGTAAGGCTAACCTATTAGATAGAGACCAGAGAGACTCCAACCTTTAGAAACCTAAGACTTTCTCACTATGTTTCTGATATGAGATTCATTACATTCTCTCCTACCCAATCTTGTAACACCCTCGTTATAGGTGGAGCTCCCTGCCTACCAGTCCACCTCACTCTCGTGTGAACCCACAATCACATGTGATCGCCCTTATGTGGGTGCTTAACAGGAACATTGAAAGACAGATCAGGTATGTTCTATATCACTTGTCATGGACTGGGTCACACCCAAAAGGCTAACCTATTAAGTGGAAGGACTCTCTCTTCATAAGCTCAAGACCTTTTTAATACGCTTCCGATGTTATTACAATTGGCAGCTTAAATCTTCCCACAAAAAAAAAAAAAAAATCCCTGCTTCCTTTCAGGCCAAAAATGATCAAACAAGTTGCTTGTTACCGAAAATTTCGTTAAGATTTCACACTTTGTAAAAGAATTTCTACGTTCTGGAAAATAAATCATACAACTTAGGCATAAAAATTGAGTTATCAAAGTAATTTCTTGATAAACCTTCCAATACGGGTTTAAAAGTTGGGTTTACGCTACATACAAAATTGTCTTCTGGTTACATAGTTGAGAAAGAAATCAAATAGCCGCCTCACAACATACAAGATATTGAGCCAATTAAAACTCTTTTCATGGACATCTAACACAACATTAGTTCCAAACCTGCAATTGTTTTTTAACATTGGAGTCAAGGCTCCAGCCAATTGGTCAAAATTGAGGTTGTCATCAACCACCACCCACTTGCCTCTTCCAAGAGTCTTCAACAATCAGTTCATTGACTCCCCAATCTTCGTAACTGGAAAATTACACGAAATCCGTTTAAATGTACATCAAATATGAAGGAGATGTAGCAGAAAACATGTAGAGAATATAGAAATGCACTTCTTCCAATAAAATTCCAAAGCATTAACGCTAACATTCCATCAGTCAAAACAATTTTACTGAAAAAGAAAAACTAAAAAGGAAACAGTATTATAAACTAACAATCTCACCTTCCATCGGGAAGGTAACGACGAATGGTAAATGGAATTTTCCGCTCCCGAAGCTCCTTCATAGCAATCTAAATAGGTAGAACGCAACATCATAAAATTGTAGCATGAAAATAACATTATGATATTAGTAGATGGATAAATGAAGTGGAAAGCTCTTATGTAACACATAATATAGAAGAGCAAAATCATGACAATGTTACAACACAACACATCCCTTTATGTCTGAAATGTTAAGAAAAAAAGAGCATAGCTAAAATAACAACACTAACAGAATAAAAGGCTAACCCTGCAGCATGGCCCAACATTTTATTTTAATTTAAAAAAAAAAAAAAAGTCAAGAGAAGTTGGCAGTCCCAATGGGGTGACAAAAAGAAAAGATCTCAATTAGGTGCAACACTACAATTACAACGGCATTCAACATGAGTGCCAACTCCAGCTTGAATATGCTATAAAACAAGATGTAAGCAACATTATCATGCCAAAATAATTTGATAGAACAGGATATAATTTCCAAATGGAAGCATGACTTTGTTATATAGAAAAAGTAGGAAGAAGGAACGTCAGTGTTGAGAAGTTCATATTTTTCATAAAAACAATTAAGGAGCTAATACTGGATATCCTACTTCCTTTTCTGGTATGCAAATGGACGTGCACTTCTAATACACCCATTCATATGTTCGTTCATCATGAATTTACCACACAGCCCAAAATAGGTCCACAATCAGAGTCAAAGTTACACATGCAACTCTTTGTGCCAAACAAAATATGAAAGCAAATATTAACAAAATGCTCATGCTCAGTCCCATAATTGGCAGAAGGAACAAGTTAAAGGTCTGATCGTTAGAATTCAGTGGGTGCAACCAGTAGAATCCTAACTATAGAAACGGCTGCAGACTTGATAAGATGTGATACAGAAGCAAAAAAAAAGATTAGTCATCCAACATTACTCTCAAAGAATCTTACCTCAAGCGGATCAGTCTCACCTTCCAATTCAACCATCACCGGAGCATTCATACTGCTCAGTGAAAAGGAAAATTTTATTAATTTGACCCAGATAAAAAAACAAAATATTAGATTGATAGGGTTTACACAAGAGAAAGAAGAGAAAAAACCTGATCTGCAAGCTCGAGTACCTAAGATTCTGGCACGCTCATATTTGGTCATATATTTCGATGTTTTCCGACTGCTTCTTTTTGTCCTCTTCTTCTTTTTCCTCAGCTTCATAGATCTCCTGTTACATCTTCATTGTTATTATCTCTACATCCTCCTCGGCTCCTTCCTATTTCAGCACTCAACCAGTTCATGTTAGTTCATTAAGACAGGAAGAAACAAAAGTTCATGACTTTTTCGGCAGGCAAAACAAACTAATAACTCCTTACTTCAATCTCGGGCTCTGGTGGCTCATCCGTATCTGCAAAAAAATTTACTCAGTTCACTAAGTTCATAAACCAACTAAAGGAGAAAAAAAAAATTCCATCGCTGGAAATAGTCATAAACATATGTATAATGTTGTAACAGTTGGTTTTATAATGAACAGTAAAGATAATTTCAACTTGGAAACAATCTAATATATAAGTCATACACCATCAAAATAACTGCATATCAATTATAAGAAACTACACATCTAATAAACATCTTTCATTGAAATGCAAAAACTGATTATTTAATTAAAAAAAAATCAGAACTCAGTCACTCACCATGGGTAATATCTGTAGGCTCTTAAAAAGATATCGCAAATGAAAATGAAGAATTGAAACCCTATTCGTATAAGTAAGAAATCTATATTACAGTGAAAGAGATAACTAACCCCATATCAATTTCATTGTAATCATCATCGGCCATGGTTGATTCACAACTTTGTTTTCCTTTCTGCTACTGCTACTGCTCCTTCTCCTTCGACTACTCCCAAAACAGGTGACAGTGCTTTGTGCCTTTGTCCTTTCAAATGCTTACAGACTAACACATAGAACCAGGAAATGGGTATTGGACTTTTGTTTAAAGATAATATGGGCTTAAAAGCCCAAAGGAAATATGGGCTTAAGGATTCATTGGGCTAATCACTAAATGGACTATTTTCTCTGCTTCTATTATTGTAGTCAGCACTCAGTCAGCAGAAGCTGAATTAGAGAATTAATCAGTGGCATTTCTACAATTTGATACTGATATAAATTTACTTGGTTCTAACTAAAGAAAATTTGTAGAAAGGAGGCAGTCATGATTGACGATACTTAACCATCATTAGGTGTTTGAGTAATCAATTAGGATTTTTGGGTGTATTACTCAAAAGATCTTGAATTTGATTCACCTCGGCTCCTAATAGAGTGGCTACTGGAGGTTTACATGGTCATTAATTTTAAGACCTCAAAAGATTAGTTGAGATGCGTAAGAGCTGACTTAGATACCTTCGGCTAAATTCTTAACATTTGAAGAGAAATTATCAGGTCCACAATGATTTTACCAAATTGCCAGATTGTCGCATGCGAGTGAGCCTAATTAATTGCAGCCATACAAGTGACAAACTTTCGCTTAGTCTCATCTTGCTTTCAAAACTTTCCTAAAAGTCGCTCTATTCTTCTAGCCAGAGCAAACGTAACGCTGAACTGATTCAAAGCAGTAATTGATTTTTCTTTTGACAGAAGACTTGTAATGATCTTGTACGTGAGTGTAACAATAGAAACTCTTAGATATATTAATAAAAAACAACTTGGTACTAATGTGGAACTTTTTGCAGGTCGCAACCCACAAAATGGGATAGAAATGCATTTATTTTACAATTTTCTCCCTATTCTATCCGAAATATACGTTTATTTTCTTATTCGAAAAATATTATTTATTTTAATTTAATTATTTTTAAACCTTGTAGGTTTGTTAATTTAACTAAACACCCTCCAATTTTTTTTTTTAGAAATTAATAAAAACACCTCACCAACCCATATTTGTCAGATTCCGGCCACCACCGTCGAAAGGTGGCCAGAATTTGGTACAGCGGCGTACTACCGACTGAATCTGATCGATAGTGCTTCGATATAACTTTTTTTGGTAAGATCCATGCATGAAAATTTGATTTGAGGATCCTGATCTTACCACCACTGAAATTTGTTCTTATCATGTTTTTGTTTTTGTTCAATAAACTAAAATAATTTTAAGTTTTTATATGTCCATCTCAATAATTAATAATAATAATAATAAATAGCAAATATAGAAATATATGTATAGGGTTTACAAATTAATCTCCACAACTTCTCTCATAACACCCAGCGTGATAATTGATAATTTGTTTCTGATAATTCATTAGCTGGAAAAATCAATTAAATCAATTACCAACTACCGCGTTGTATTTATGAGATTCGTTCGTCAGACTCAGCATAGTATTGCCCATACACATAAGTGACATCACTTGCATGACATATCCATAAATAAGAGATATAAACGACTTGTTCCCACCCAAAGTTTAGCGAAATCCCAGTTTTTACCCTAGTTTCATTTATTTCAGATACCCACCCTTAAAGTAACTCTGTGTAATTATTTTTAGTTCTAACCTAGATGCAGAAGATGCTATTACCATCCTACCCTTAAGAACAATTAATAAATTATTTGTAACCCCCTCATTATAGTAAATTAGAAAATAATTATCTTACTTTCAAATTTATTTTCAATGACACCCTTTCTTCAGCTTCACATCATCCCCATCTCCGACCACCCAGCCACAGTCCTACCACCACCCCGCCTAGCCACTACCACCCGCCACCACCATTGCCACCACTGCCACCAGCCGCACTATCACCACCCAGCCTTTTTTTTTTTTTTTTAAATCTACTTTTTTTTATTTATACAAAAAATAAAATAATGAAAACAAATCAACAAATCTACCACCGTCGTCAACCAACAAACCGCCGTCGACATAACACAGAAAATGGGGGTTGCCTGCTGCTGTGAGCAAAAGCAGGCACAAAACAGTGCGTCTTGGAAGGGCTCTCTACGCACTTTGGCTTGGCGTGCGTTGTGTGAAGTGGCGTCTGGGTTGGTTGAGGCAAACAGAAAACGTGGTGACAGGTGAAGTTAGGAGGTGATCACGTGGTTGGTTGGGTTTCTCCGACCAGAATCAAAGCAAAACCACACGCAATAATCAATCAACCGATACCCAAGCTTCAATTTCATCAAAATCCAACCTTCAACAACAAATTCAACAAACGCAAAACCCTAGTTGAGTGTGTGGACTATGATAGTGGCTGCCGTGGTCGGAGAGGATGGGTTTTTGTAGGGAAGAGCCGCGAGTTGTGGGTGGGTGGTGTAGGGGTCTTGGCCACCCAAATCGTCAAAATCCGGCAAAAACGATTGCATGACGCCGTTGCTGTGGCCGAGAACAGTGTGTGCAGTGCGGGGTAACAAGGGTGGGGTTTTGATGGTGGGAGCCAGGGTTCTTTGGTGTGTACGGGGAACACCACCAACACCAGATTCCGGCCAAATCTGACCGAGACGAGAATGCTCTCGACTGGAAAATTCCGAAAAAGGGCCAATCCGGCCAAAAATACATCGATGAGGCAGAAGGCTATGCAATCGGGCTTGGGTGGATGAATTCTGTCGGTTTTTGGCAAGAATCCGACTAGTATCAGCTCAAATCGCCGGCAGCAGTCGGCAGGTGAGCCCAGTGGTGGCTAGTTGAGAGAAAAAATTCAGGGCAATTAGACAGGAAGTGCCAAAATGACAACTTCACCCTTGAACATTATTATAAACATTGTTCTGTTACTTTAAGGTGGATATCTGGAATAAGAAACTAGTGGTAAAACCTTGGTATTTCGCTAAACTTTTGAGTGGGAACATGTCTTTGCTCATAAGAGAAATTCAAACACGTGAGCTTGACCTTCTTCCGTATAATATACCAATAAGACTATGCTTAGTGGAAAAGCATTAAGGAAAAAATTGCTTGACTTCACAAATTATCAAAGTCAAGTAGTCAACCAATATGCGGGTCTTCGGGTTTTAGAATTTGATCATTATTTCCACCTCTTTGCAGGTATTCTTTTTAACATATGTTGTAAATATATAGTTTAGGTTATAAGGATATCATTTCTTTGTAAATATTTTTTTTTTTTTTTAAGTTATAAATAATGTTATATGTTTAAGTTGAGGGTTTAACTTTGATATCAAATTTTTGATTTTATAGTATCATATTAATATAACAGAATGATTTTTATCTCTCGCTCCATTTCCGATAAGGGTACGAAGCACTTGATTCATCATCCTCATAGATTTGTAATACATTGAGTTAGTTGATGACAGTATTGAATCAGGGGTTCAGATTTTGTTTCTCATTGGTCGTGGAGTGGGAAAACTTAGATAATTCTGTTGTGTCTGTGATATGCTTTTTGGGATTGTTTCTTTTATTTGCATGGCTTTTGTATTTTTATGATATTGAGGGAGTTGAGGAATATTTATTATTGAAAGTAATAGTCAGGCCTGGCTCTGGAAAGCTATTTAGACTCCAGCCACCAGGAGGTGGTGTCCCTTATGGCACCATCGCGGTGACTGGAGGGTGACCTCTTCCTCAAGTTCCGGAATTTTCTTCCAAGGAGATGGGCAGTCCCAGGCTGTAGTTAACTCTCCACTTGAGCTCATCATATGGACTCATCTAATTCAATTCCTGGGACTGGACGCCCCAATCTGGGTCCGGTTTCTGGGGATATGATAATGCGGTGTTGAACAGTGTGGCAAACTCGGACCAAGTGTGGGGGCGAGTTCTTGGTCACAGATGCAAACTCGGCTCTTTCAGGAGGCCCTCATTTGCAGAGAGTGCGAGCATCAATACAGAATCCTATATGCCTTACCTGCATCACCATGTCATTTTCATCTAATAACTATTAGTATTTCGGGTTCATCAGTTGTGATGGTTCCTCGGTAGTGCAGCAGGGCTCTCATCCAGACCCGAGTGCCCAGCAAGTGCGAGAGTCAGCAGACAAGGGGCGTCGAGTGCTACATCCTTGCCCACATCACAAACTGCCAAGTTTCTCTTCCCATGGGCCCTCGAGTACCTGGATCCTTCATTCAGACCTAATAATCTATCCCAGGTGCAGAAGAAACCACATTGGTATCAAACAGGAGGACATTCTGCAGCAGCAGATGCAGCAACAGGGAATGCAACCCCTCAAATGCACTAAAGCGCCCTTATGATAGTGGTGTTGTGCTCGCCGGCTGATGCAATACTTATATCATCAGCGACACGGCCT